ACGATATAAAAGAAGTTATAAAAGAAAAGAAAAGAAGTCACCCTGGCTAGATAAATAAGTAAATATTGTTAACAATTAAAATGACGTTTAAATAAAAAGGTCTTCACCTGGCACTGAAAAACAAATAACGATGGCGCCAGGCGGACCTCTCTGGGGAGCACATTCCATAGATTGGGCGCCACCGCAGAGAAAGCCCTCCTCCGAGTACCTACCCTCCTAATTTCTTTCATGGAGGGTTCCCGGAGAAGGGCCTCTCCCGCAGATCTCAAGGGGCGGTCGGGCATGTATGGATGTAAGCGCTCCTTCAGGTAACCAGGACCCAAGTTGGAAACCTGCTGTGCCAGCATAACTATTAAAGCTATGATTGAAGTTGTTTATGCTACTTCTAATCAATTGTGTTATTGACTGTTTCCCTATGTGAACAGTATTCTTGGGGTTGAACATTGCAGTTCATATAGGATAAATAATAAATCGTTATTTTATTTCAAAAGAGGTACACTCTTGAAGTGAATATATCTTATGAATACCTTATATTTTCTTTCATTAAAAGATAATGTATTTTTATTGCTCAGGCAAAATCTCAGCAACATTCATATTTAGAAATAGAAAACCTCTGTGCCTTTCAAAGCTCCAATTTATTTACCATTCTAATAATGTTGGTTCCTTGAAATTTTAAATGTTTTTCTAGACAAGGTTTTCCAACGCTCAAGCACTGAATATTATTTAGAAATAGAGTGTTACATTTTTGAGAGGCATTTAGTGGTATGCTGTTGTAGGCAATTGTTGGCTGCATCATTATTAACGTTACAGCTTTGTCTTTCATAAAATAATTTGATACATGATTGTATAAATAGCAGAATAAATGTTTCTCCAAACTGTAGACAAAGTGATTATTTAGGATTAGGTATTAGAAAACTGAGTGCTTGGGAAGCACAGCATATGCTTCTCTCCTGTGATTTAGAAGGAAGGAAATGGTTGAGAAAGAATATTTCACTGGAATTTTGGTTATAAGATCATTCGGTAATTAGACTATAGACTAATCTGGACGTTATCCAAAGAACAATCTGAAAATGTGTGAAGCCAAACTATGTTTGTTACTGTAATCTCTTGGCTTCTCTGAGACTATAGCCATTGAATAGCAGTGGATTTCTTATTATGTTTGAGAAGACACTGTCCCTAAAAACAAAGGCCTTGTTTGCAAGTGTTATGACATGGAAGAATAATAGAGACTGATACATTCCTTTAGCATTTATCTTTGATCAGTCATGTTATAGTTTGATAATTATCTTTACAAATGCATTGCACTGTATTTTCTTATTTGTGGAGTTTGTAAAAATGATCTTGGAGTCTCCAACATGATGCTTGTAGGTACCAGTAGACCCACAGATCTCTCTTTGTGGTCTCTAGGCTTCCTGTCCCTCCTGATTTTAAAAATGTATTTTAGATGTTATTTTCTTAAAATAAAAATATCTTCTTTCTTAAAGAAAATAACTGGGATGCTGGCATGCTGTGGAGCAAGTGTCTGCTTTGGTCTGCAAAGGAGCATTTCTATTTCCAGAAATGCCTCTGAAACATACATCTGAATCTTAATGGAACATATTTGCATGTGTAAATTGGCAGAAAAATTCACAATTCTTCCATGTATACTATCTTGTAACTATATACAATTGAAATTCATATTGTCTGGTTCTAGAAGAGTTTGTGACCTTCCAATATTAGATTGGATTGGGATTGTTAGGAGTTCCAAGTAAGAGACTCCTTTGACCTTGGAGCTGAAACTCTGAAGGCTGAGCCTCTGCTCACCCCCACCCTTGTGCAGCTATCCTGGAAAGAACTGCACTGACTGTCCTTCTCTTGAGGTGGCATTTGGGCCTCAGAAGAGGAAAGAAAAGGTAAGCCAAGATGACAGAGAGTGAAGGAAGGGTGGGGCTGCTAATTTATCCCAATTCCTGTTGGCCTTGCAGCCTCTCCCTTCCCTCTCTTTGGATCTTTATTTAGATCAATGTAACCATCTAGATAAAATACCTAGCTCAAGGCTCAGTGGTGGAGATTGTTGCCACACATTGTAGCAGGCTTAGGATTTGCACAAGTTTGGAAGCTTAAGTGTATCAAGGCTGTGCTACATACAGTTGTGCCATTAATTAACAAGATACTTGAACTACAGGTTTCTTACAAGTAATAAGAAATTACTCTAATAAGAAATTATTAGAGCTGAACTTTAAGTCATCAAAATTCACCAAAACTCACACCATTTATACTGAAGTAGGAGGCTCATGGGCATCCAAAAATTTGTAGAAGCACCAAAAATCTTTAGAAAAAAAATAACAGTTTAGTGAAGACTGATGTTCAGTGACTATGGAGCACTGAGTGTCTGGGTAGGGGACAGAAAACTGAGAACAGAGGAAGAAAATGGAATTGACAACCTTGGAAAAGGGCTGAATCTTTAATAGCATTTCACATTGCAGCATTTTGTTGTGGGTTTTAGTTGGTCTGTTTAAATTACCAGTACTGCTAGAATCGGCAGTGGTCTGACAGGATATAATACAGTAACATTGGCTGAATTTATGCAGGTCATGGACTGATGCACATCTGGATGAGAACCCTGCATATCTTCCTTGAGTTTCTTCATAGCATGTCTTCATGTAATTAAAACTGCTCAGCTGGTTCTGTGCAACCAAGAAGTGCTTGTTTTAATCAGAGATCCATGTGCAACCTAAAAGTTCTTTTTGAAATAAAGAGGACTTTCAACAGCTTTTTAGAATATGGCTAGGTATCCGATATAAAAATTAATACAACTCCAATTTGGACAAGTCTAAATCCTTGGATACATTTAAAATAGCCATATACTTAATAATAAATTCACAAAAATTTCCCTTAACAAAATCCCTTCTAAATTTAATTATGTTTCAGAATGATGTGTAAAACACAAGAAATGTGTATAGATTCAGCCCTGTTTTTTTCTTAGCTTCTGTCAGTATAGTGTTGAATCAAAAACCTTCATATAAGTTTAAACTTTACAACTTGACTCAACAATCTTAACCATCTGTGCTTTAGGAGTTAGTGAAATATAGGTTGTATATGACCTACAACTATACAGTAGTTATCATGTGCACAGAGATTGTTAAAATAGTTATTCTTACTGTTTATTAAAGTGCATCTTACTGCATCTTGTATAGCTTCATAAATACTCTGCAAGAGAGGGTGTTTTAAGTGGTGAGAAGCATCTCCAATGACAGCACTTAAAAATTGGATCCTGTGCATATTTAGTCAGAAAAAAATTGTTGGGTCTGTAACTGCATAATAAAGATTAATAGAAACAAAAGTCCTGTAGCTCCTAGCATTTTCCAGATTTTTTCCCTGTCTAATCATGCATAGAGTTGCACCCTTACAATTTCTCATTTAAAATTTGCTAGCACAAATTAATAAGCCTACACATATTGGCATGGTTTAGCAGTCAGGCCTGAATCAGCTCTCACTGCCAATGTTATACCCTCAAGCATATCCAGGATGTTTCTGGGATTGGCAGGGGTTTATTCAGCATGGCCTGAAAAAAACAAAAAGCAGAATTCTATCTGTTGTTCTTGGTTTGTTGTTGCTGTTTTATTTTTTCCAAACTATTGTGAGAGTAACAAGACTCCCTCATACCGAGGCCCTCCAGAACAAACACTTTTGTCATCTTTCAAAAAAAAAGGGGGGGGGATAAATTTAAATAGAAAATTTGAGCATTTTTTAGAGACAGGGAAGATAAACTCTGCATGTATTTCCTTCCCCTCCCTCCCAAAAAAGAAGGGGGAAGTATGAAGTTGGTGAAGGATATTGAGAACTGGTAGGGCACTTGCAAAGATCTAGAAAACAATAAATAAAAACAAAGAGATTGTGCTTCCCCCAGAAAGGTTTAGGAGCCAGTGAAGATCATTCCAAAGTGCCATTTGGATATTGGCAGACTTGGCAGTGTGGCTAAGATTTCCAAGACCAGCAAGCAGTGCTTCCATATCAATTCTTAGTGTCATCTGCCCCTTGCTTTAAAAAAAGCAGAAAGGAAACTGTAGAGTGTCTCAAACATACTTGCAACACTTTAATCCTGTGCAAATGTGCAGGACAGAATGACCAGTGCTAGTAAATTTGTGCAATTTTTTATCCTGTTTTACTGTTCCACCATGGGATTTATGCAATTTTTCATCAGTTTTACTGCTCTGTCATGAGATTTGCACAAATTTCTCCTTTGTTTTACTGCTTTGCCTTGAAATTTGCACGGATCTGCAGTACCATGAGATTTGTGCAGTTTTCCTACCCCATTTTACTCCTATGATATTGGTATATGTTCAGTAATCCCATTCACTTCTCTGTAAACTTTATGTATTGTTGTTAGTAGCGAAGTTGTGTCCGACCCATTTCGACCCCATGGACAACATTCCTCCAGGCCTTCCTGTCCTCCACCATCCCCTGGAGTCCACTTAAGCTCACGCCGACTGCTTCAGTGACTCCATCTAGCCACCTTATTCTCTGCCGTCCCCTTCTTCTTTTGCCGTCAATTGTTCCCAGCATTAGGCTCTTCTCCAGGGAGTCTGTCCTTCTCATTAGGTGGCCAAAGTATTTGAGTTTCATCTTCAGTATCTGGCCTTCTAAAGAGCAGTCAGGGTTGATTTCCTCTAGGACTGACCGGTTTGATTGCCTTGCAGTCCAAGGGACTCACAGGAGTCTTCTCCAGCACCACAGTTCAAAGGCCTCAATTCTTTGACACTCAGCCTTCCTTATGGTCCACCTTTCACAGCCAAACATTGCAACTGGGAAAACCATAGCCTTGACTATATGCACTTTTGTTGGCAGGGTGATGTCTCTGCTTTTTAGTATGCTGTCTAGATTTGCCATAGCTTTCCTTTCCAGGAGCAAGTGTCTTTTAATTTCTTGGCTGCAGTCCCTGTCTGCAGTGATCTTGGAGCCCAGGAAAATAAAATCTGTCACTACCTCCATTTCTTCCCCATCTATTTGCCAGGAAGTAATAGGACCGAAAGTGACAACTAGTAATTAGAAACAGTAAGAGTGACAAGCAGGAATGCAGGGTGGGACCAAAAATGACTGGTGGCTGTAGGAGAAGACACTATTAGGGTAGATGTGCTTGCTTCAGTGTTTATTTCATTTCAGAAAAAGTAGTACTGGTATGATGTAGTAGTAATACCTAGCAAGGGAAGTACCAAAGTGGAAGAGTGGGATATGAGTGTGTTCAGCTAAATTTCAGAGAGGACTTGTAAGAGCACAAGTTGGTGAAAAATAGAAATAAAAAGTATGCTGGTAGATGTGTTTCTGCATGTATAAGGGCTTGGAGACTTGATTTCTTTTTTGCCATCTGAAGAGGGAGGGGATAACTTACTTTAATATGAGAGAATGTTGCTGCAGGATCACTAAATGGAGGATGAACTTAGCAGGGGCATTGATGAGAGGGATATCGGGTCTTGTACAGAATTTTCCAAAAAAACGGAGGGGGGGAAGAGAACAATGCTTGCAAATGCTAACACATTTATAAGGACTTTGAAAATGAATTCAATTTGGTGCTGATGCAGTGGGGAGGGGAGCTTCTTTTGGTGCCTAGTAATCTGTAGGGACCAATTGCAGAAGGGGTGCTGACATAGGGACCAAGGAAATGAGGAGTTCTGCTGCAGAGGGACCTGGAATTCATGCAAGAACCAGTGGAAGGAAAGAGGAGGGAACTAAATCACAACAAACCAACGTGTTTGTCTGATTGGTTAGCAAGCAAATAATCATCACATGTTGGCTTACTGGCAATGTGACTTAATGTGTAATATGCAGATGTGTCCATTCTTTGGAGGGTGGGATAAAGACAAAAGCAGTTGAAGAAATGCTTACTCTTTTATTTTTGTTTTCTATGTTTCTATGTTTTTGAGAGCTCATCCTGGCTACCATGATGGGGTGGTGAATTGCATCGTTGTCGCCTTCAAATATTTTTTACCAGACACCTGATGCATAAATCTTGAAATTGCCTGCTTGAATTTTGAATTTGCCTGCTTGAACTTTTAGGAAATGTCAGGGAGTAGGTTTGTTGGAGTTGTTTTGCTGGTATGTGCAGTCCTTGTACCTTGCCTAGTTAAATAGGAAGAGGTGCCCAGTGATTAAGTATTGGAATTTGCATATATAGTGACTTGGTTGTGGAGAAGCTAAACTTCATGAAATGGCTTTAGAGATCTTACAGCTTTACTGAGACTGGTTTTTATATTTGCACTCTGGATAATGGATATGACTGGTAAATCTTTCTTTTTCTAGAGCCCTCTTGACAGAGCCCAAGCAGCAAAGAACAAAGGCAACAAATACTTTAAAGCTGGGAAATATGAGCAAGCCATTCAGTGCTATACTGAAGCCATTGGTTTATGTCCCTCTGAGAAAAATGCTGACCTCTCTACCTTTTACCAGAACAGAGCTGCAGCATACGAACAACTGGTATGAATCTTAAATATCAACATAGTATATTCTTTTGCAATTTAGACTTTTCCTGTTTTCTTCATTATATGTTCTTCATTATATGTTTCTGTTTGTTCCATCCTCCTCGGCTCTCCTGTACAGACCATATAATGCATGGGTCTTCAAACTAAGGCCTGGGGGCTGGATCCAGCCCGCCATGCCCATTTGGACCCGCCGCACCCATGTGCGCGCCCACTGCTGTCCACCTGTATGTGTAGGAGGACTCTGCACGTTACACTGCCTGCTTATCAGCTGATTTGGAATTGTCATAGTGTTAAAAGTTGTAGAAACCTGTGGTCATACTTTAAAAAAGTTTATATTTAATAATAACTGAATATTTTTAATGATCAGGTATTTTTACCTCTACAGCAAAAATGGAAAGAGGTGGCTCAAGACTGTACAAAGGCAGTTGAACTTAATCCCAGATATGTGAAAGCTCTCTTTAGGCGTGCAAAGGCACATGAAAAACTAGACAACAAGAAAGAATGTTTAGAAGGTTGGTATGCTGTACTGTAAATGAGTTTAAAGATGCATTGTGTTCTTTGTGTTAAATGTATTTAATTTGAATGGGTTGTTTTGCTTTTTCTCCATTTTTGAGATCAATGTGTTATTTTCAAGGGGATTTCAATATATGTTCAGCCAAAAAAAGGTTTATTTTCAAAAACTTTAGCTACAAAAAAGTTAGATGTAGGCTAACTGTTTAGTGCAATCTAATGTATTTGGTAGGTACTCCCTATGTAATATTCCAAGGATTTATATGAATTAGTAATAGCCTTGTCCTGTTCTCCAGATGTGACTGCAGTCTGCATTTTAGAAGGCTTTCAAAATCAGCAAAGTATGGTATTAGCTGATAAAGTTCTTAAGCTCCTTGGAAAAGAAAAGGCCAAAGAGAAATACAAGGTATGAATTTAGTATCTATTGTGATTAGTAAAACTTAGCCATTCTTGCTGATGCTTATGAGAATAAAGACAAACTAATGAATTTGCAAGTTCCAGTGTTTCTGTTGTGACAGAAATTTTAATTCAATAATGTTTGTGAATAAGTATTTAGGGAAGTAGATTCTCTCTGTATTTTTTTTTTCAGTTAGACATGCTTTATGAAAAACTGGTAGAAATAATTTTGTTTGTTGGTATATTGGCACAGAAATTCAGGACTGCATTTTTAAAACACGTACATAGTTGCATAGTCTTGTTAGTTTTTATTTCAAGTGTGAAGTGCTTGAAAGTTACGACCTTAATGAAATTAAGAAATGCTGGTAACATCCATAATTAGCACATCTCCCTTGAATGAATATTCTCAAAGAAGCCCCTTTAACTCATAAATGTGGGGAGACCTAAAGAAAGTTTGCTGTAGAAGATTGAAAGAAATGAGCAGGCCAATACCAGGAGTAAAAGTCTTCAAGTATTCTGGTCCTACACTGTGTGGAGTTCTATACATTAAAATGAGCGCTTCAGTTGCTCTTAGAAACAAATTGGAACTAGAAATCATTTTTTTCAGAGTGGTGTTTATTAGTTTGATTGCATTGACTGACTATGCAAATCTATGCTGTTTATCTTATTTCAGAACCGGGAACCCTTGATGCCTTCTCCCCAGTTTATCAAATCTTACTTCAGCTCTTTCACAGATGACATTATCTCCCAACCTCTTCTGAGGGGGGAGAAATCTGATGAAGATAAGGATAAAGAAGGAGAGGCCTCTGTAGTAAAAGAAAAGTAAGTTATAGTTATTTCTTACAGCCCTTCAATAAAGGGAACCTCATGGGAACATTCACTTATTGGATCTGAGCACTTCTGTGTCCTATGTTACACAAATTCTCTTTTCCCTTAATTTTGTGAGTTGTCTTTATGTGTGCACTTAGCCACTCAGATCCATCAATCCTAGTCAGGAGACATGAATACTCTGAGTTGGGAATTACTAAAACCATTGATTCTAAGGCTTACATCACTGAAAAATGTTGAGAATTCCTCAAGGGCTTCTAAACCATTTTCTTCAGAAAAACTGTGTAAAAATTTTTACATCATCTTTTCCTGGGTTTGCTTTAATATTTGCTCTCTGTTGTAATACTTCATCCAAGTGCTGGATTCGTGAAGGATATGATATTTTGGACAAATACAGCCTGTGCATCAACTTACATACAAATATGCTACCAGGAATGCTTTGTGCACGGCTATCGTTAGAACTAGAGATTTATTTTCTCCTGCTTGTTAATAAATACAGTGCATATTGGTTTCAGCTGTGGCTATTTGAAGGCAAAGAAATACATGGAAGAAGAAAACTATGACAAAATAATTAGCGAGTGTACAAAAGAAATAGAAGCTAAAGGAAAGTATATGGCAGAAGCCTTGCTGTTACGAGCTACATTTTACTTGCTTATTGGTAATGCAAACGCTGCCAAACCAGATCTGAATCAGGTCATTGGTATGGAAGATACAAGTGTAAAGGTAGGTGAGTGATGTGTGGGGTCTTACTGAAACACTTTGTAGGGTTGATGCACTGACATAAGTTATAATATGAATTGAATTGTGGGTTGTTAGTGAATTGTGGGTTGTGGGTGCATAACTTTTTCTTTGAAGCTGGGCATACTTCAAAATGAAATGCTGGGCTGTATAAATCTATCATTTTTATTTTCTAAAAATACTTTTAGTAGTAGAAATGAGTTATTTAAAAAAACTTAAAACAGCTAGGAAGGTTAAGGAATGTAGTGGATAGTAAGAGAATATGCCCATAGGTGCTACATTCTGGACCCCAGATTTAGTCTGATAGGCTCTATTGTTTGGATCCAGACTTTCTGTTCTGTAAATAGAATGGTTTGAGATAGATTCAGAGGAGGCTACTAGAAGAGGTGAACCAGAGGTGATTTTTTTCAATTACTCCAGCTTCTCCCATTGTGTTCCGGGGGGTGGAGGTGGAGGAGCAGCACTTAGCTGGAGTAGAAAAAAGCAAAAATTGACTCCCTGCTTCCAAATGTGACCTGTAAATAGAACATTGCTCATTGGAAGTCAGAGTAATTCCTATTAATGTTGGGCAAAGATGGAAGGATGGGACAAAAGGTGATGATGGGAAGATAAATATCTTGTTTTCCATTTTTCTTCTACATGTGCCTGTTGTGCACACAGGAAGAAGCACAAACTTAAGTTATCTCGTGTTTATCTAAAAATAACACTAGAAATGCTTGTAAAGAAAACATACAGTATGTCTAAGATACTTTCTTTGCTTAAGACTTGCAATAGCATTTCTAGATCCTGACATGAAAGTGTCATCTTTGGCCGCATTTTCTGGTAGTCTGCCCATAACATGTTTATCATCCACTGATGAGTCCCCAAGTCACCATTTTATAATTATTACCTTAGGTTATATGACACAAACTTTTAAGAAGGTGATGTTCTTCCAAACAGAGAGAAATTTCAGTGTCCTGACTGGATGATTTACAGTCCTGTCCTAGTGAGGTTTGTGCTCGAGAGCAACATCTCCCTCTGTAAGGGTGCAGACCCGATTGTGTGGGTCCGCCCCCGGAGCCGGATGGATCCGGAAGGATTCCTGAAGGCTCTGGGGGAGTTTCCGGCTGACAAGACGGGTGCTCCTGTCGAGGCTCTGGTTGAACTGTGGAATGGGGAGATGACCAGGGCTGTAGACACGATCGCTCCTAAGCGTCCTCTCCCACCGGGCAGAGCCCGCTCTTCCCCTTGGTACACTCCAGAATTGAGGGCAATGAAGCAGGTTGGGAGACGGCTAGAGCGTAGGTGGAGGAAATCACGTGATGAATCTGACCGAACACACTTAAGAGCCCACTATCGGGCCTATGCTGTGGCGGTGAGGGCGGCGAAAAAGAGACACTTCTCCGCTTCCATTGCCTCCTCACAATGCCGTCCGGCGGAGCTCTTTCGAGTGGTGCAAGGCCTGGTTCACCCAGGGTCAAAGGAAGAGCTGATTCCACCCTCAAAGGCCCGCTGTGACGACTTTGCCGAGCATTTTAGGGAGAAAATCGCTCAGATTCGTCACGAGCTGGATTCCACTATTGATTCAGAGGTTTTAAGGGAGACACCAATGCTGCCGTCTGGTCCAGAATTATTGGATGAATTTCAGTTATTGCGGCCCGATGATGTGGACAAGGTGCTTGGACGAGTACGTCCTACCACTTGCCTTCTGGACCCTTGCCCGTCTTGGTTAATAAAGGATTCCAAGCACGGGATTGGAACCTGGATCTTGGAAGTGGTTAACGCTTCTCTGAGGGAGGGTCGGGTGCCTGCCCCTTTAAAGGAGGCGGTAGTCCGACCGGTCCTGAAGAAGGCGTCACTGGATCCAGGGATGGCCGCTAACTATAGACCAGTGGCCAACATCCCGTTTCTGGGCAAGGTGTTAGAGCGAGTGGTGGCGGGACAACTCCAAGCACTCTTGGATGAAACTGATTATCTGGACCCATTTCAGTCCGGCTTCAGACCCGGGTACGGTACTGAATCTGCCTTGGTCGCCCTGTACGATGACCTGTGCAGGGAGAAGGACAGGGGGAGTGCGTCCCTGTTGGTTCTCCTGGACCTCTCAGCGGCTTTCGATACCATCGACCATGGTATCCTTCTGGATAGGCTGGCGGGATTGGGGGTCGGAGGCACCGCTTTGCGGTGGTTCTGCTCCTATCTCAACGACCGATTCCAGAAGGTGGTGTTGGGGGACTATGGCTCTGCGCCATGGCAGCTTTGCCATGGGGTACCGCAGGGTTCCATTTTGTCCCCTTTACTGTTCAATATCTACATGAAACGGCTGGGAGAGGTCATCAGGAGGTGTGGGCTGCGGACCCATCAGTATGCTGATGATACCCAGCTCTACCTCTCGTTTTCCACCAATCCAGGTGAGGCAGTGGCTGTACTGAACCGGTGCCTGGCCGAGGTAATGGGCTGGATGAGGGCCAATAAACTGAAGCTCAATCCAGACAAGACGGAGGTCCTGTTGGTTGGCGGTTCGGGCTTCGGAGAAGGTGACCTGAACCTTGTCCTGAATGGGGTTGCACTCCCTCCTAGGGACAAGGTCCGCAGCTTGGGAGTGCTCCTCGACCCGGAGCTTTCACTTGAAGCTCAGGTGACAACAGCGGCAAGGAGCGCTTTCCTCCAGCTTCGGCTGATTCATCAGTTGCGCCCCTACCTGGAGTACGACTGCCTTGCAACAGTGACTCATGCGCTGGTGACTTCCCGTCTTGACTTCTGTAACGCGCTCTACGTGGGGCTACCCTTGAAGACGGTCCGGATACTTCAATTGGTTCAGAATAGAGCTGCCAGGCTGCTGACGGGGACTGGACGTTATGTTCACATGACGCCAGTTCTCCGTCAGCTTCACTGGCTCCCCATTGAAGGCCGGGCCCAATTCAAGGTGTTGGTAATGACCTATAAAGCCCTAAACGGCTTGGGTCCTGGTTACCTGAAGGAGCGCTTACATCCATATTTGCCCAGTCGCCCCCTGAGATCGGCGGGAGAGGCCCTTCTCCGGGAGCCCTCCGTGAGAGAAATTAGGAGGGTGGCTACTCGGAGAAGGGCTTTCTCAGCGGTGGCGCCTAAGTTATGGAATGCGCTCCCCAGAGAGGTCCGCCTGGCGCCGTCGTTATTTGTTTTTCGGCGCCAGGCTAAGACCTTTTTATTTAAGCAACATTTTAAATGCTAAATACAATTGAATTTTATCTGGCCAGGGCGGCTTATTTTATAATGTGAGTTTTAATTAAGATTATTTTATATGGATTTTAACTTGTTTTATCTATGTTGTAAGCCGCCCCGAGGCTTCGGCGAATGGGGCGGCATAAAAATGTTTTAATAAATAAATAAATAGATAGATAGATAGATAGATAGATAGATAGATAGATAGATAGATAGAGGAGGGCTTTCCTGAGCTAAGAAATCACCCAAGAAGCATCCCCAGTATAATATTACCTGCCCTTTTTCGAGGGAATACAGGATAATTTCTGTGTAATACCTTACTTCCCAGTGCAGTCCTCCAGTTTTTAAAAAAATCTACCTTCCTGTAGCGTTACTACTTTATTTTTTAAATTTGCATTTTTTTAAAAAATGAATTTTTGACATGCATGAGCTTCAGGATCAAATACATTTTTGCCAAGCTTCTGAGAACTAAAACTTGAGAACTCCCTGAAAAGTTTGCTTTGATGGCTGCCAACTTCAGTGGCTTTCAAACAGATTTTCTATACAATAAAATCCCACATTCAAATCAGACTCATACCTTAAAATAAGGTATGAAAACCTTTTTATTTTCCCAGCATTTTGATGTTTACTTGGTTTTATTCTGGGTTTTATTGAGGTTGGGTGCAGTGCTTTGTTTTATTTTGCATTTTTTTTTCTAGTAAGCTGTCCTGAGGCGCTTGTAGTGGACGACCTAGAAAAGCTTTAAATAAATAAATGAAATAATGGGTAAATAAAAAAAGTTTTAGCCTGGTGCCAAAAGGAATCAAGTGTTGGCACCAGGTGAACCTCTGGGAAGCGTATTCCATAACCGGGGTGCCACTGCAGAGCAGGTCCTTCTTTGGGTAGCCACCCTCCTAATCTCCTTCAAGGAGGGCTCCCGAAGTAGGACCTCTGCCCCAGATCTTAAGGGGTGGGTAGGCACATAGGGAAAGAGAAGCTCCTTTAGATATCCAGGTCCTAAACCGTTTAGGGCTTTATAGGGTAACACTAGCATATATTGACATAATTTTGATTATTTCTTACAGCTTCGTGCTAATGCCCTCATCAAGCGAGGAAGTATGTATATGCAACAGCAGCAACCTATGTTCTCTACTCAAGATTTTAATATGGCTGCTGATATTGATCCTCAAAATGCAGATGTTTATCATCATAGAGGACAGGTAGGCATTATCCCATCTTCTTAAATGTTTTTCTTCCCAAAATTGGGTATTTTGTACTTACTTTATATAACTAACATAAACATCAATCACTGACCACTTAACTGTGTGTGTTGCATTATGTATTACTTTAAAATGTGTCGGCATTTTGGCAGTTAGCAACAGAGCAGAAGTAAAAGATTAAAAAGGAAAGGTTAAAGATTTAAATAAGAGGCTAGAAATAGCTGTGAGAAAATAATTCATGCAAACACCTGTTGTATAATAAGATTTATTTATCTGGCAACTATATTGTGGCAGTGAATTTATGAAGTAACGTATGGAGCTGTACATAAATGTTTTTGTTGCCATTAGCTAAAAATTCTGCTTGACCAAGTTGAAGAAGCTGTAGAAGACTTTGATGAATGTATCCGTTTGCGACCAGATTCTGCCTTGGCACAAGCACAGAAATGCTTTGCATTGGTGAGTATATGGAATTTTACTAAGGCTTTTTACATTAAATAAAGTACCAAAATACTTTGTCAAAATACACTTTCAATTTCAGCAAGTTTAAGAATTACACTTGAATGTATTGGCTGCTAATAGACATCATGACTATATTTTTGACATAACTTTTTTTTTAAATGCAGTATCGTCAAGCTTACACTGGAAGTAATGCTTTACAAATACAAGCAGCAATGAAAGGCTTTGAAGATGTTATTAAAAAATTCCCAAGATGTGCTGAAGGCTATGCATTATATGCCCAGGTATATATATGTGCCCTTGATCACCTCTGAAAATATATTATCATTAATTAATGTTGTTCTAATAATGAGTATTACAACTTAATGTGGTAACAGTTTGTGCCTATTAATGAAAGAGACTGCATCAGAATGTGAGCTAGTCCTGATATATATTCTTTCATACTTATATAATTTATTTCATTTAATGTTTACCCATGCAGGCACTAACTGATCAACAACAATTTGGCAAAGCCGATGAAATGTATGATAAATGCATTGATCTTGAGCCAGATAATGCTACTACCTATGTTCACAAAGGGTAAGGACTATAGTTATTGTTGGCTTTTATGTGTCTGTGTTGGGGGGACTTTTTCTCAGTTTCAGCTGAGAAGAAATCTTTTTCTAAAAAGAGTAAATTGATGTGGAAATCTACTACTATATTTTCCATGGAACATTTTCTATTTCTTGAAATGCTTTATTACAACAAAGTAATTAGTAACAACCAGTGAGTAGAATAAAAATTTGGGTAACTGGAATAGGTGAATTGCCAGTATCCTCTGAAATCAAAGTTGTTATGCTTTTCAGATGACTATCTTAGGTAAATATACGTGCACATCAGAAGATTTTTCAGTAGTAAAATTAGTATAAAATTAAAAATAATGCCTTCATTCCCTTGCCCAACCATCTAATGTACGGTTGTCACATTCTTAAAATGTTTAGAATAATACATCATTCTAACACAATTTCCAAGTAATGGCAGATTTGAATATGCCAATTAAACCATACTATGTGGATTTCATTGATCAGGTTCACATGTAATGGCCAATTAATCTAAAGTTAGTAGTTCAGTATTGTTGCTGTTACATGTGTATGGGATCAGACTCCCCCCCCCCCCCAGCCAAATCTTTAAGTTCATCTACTTCTGGCTATTCAAATGAGTTCTCAGATACTTTCCAGCACAATATACTTTTGATTTAAAGTACTGAAAATGCTCATAATTTTCCAGACAATTCAAATTTATGATGAAATACAACATGCAGCTATCTTGCATTTGTACTGATTTTGTATAGTTGGAGCTGTAAAACACCAACAGAATAAAAATAGCTACTGCCCCCCCAAAGGAGGAACTTCCAATCAGTCTTATTATCTTTTACAAATGGATCCAACTCATGGGCAGTTGCTAATTGCTTCCTGGTGGATTAAAAGGTGTTATTGAATTGCTGGTATTTTAATTCCAGTAGTAAAAGTATCTCTTTATGTGTTAGCAAGTAGTTTTTTTAATTAGAGTAACCAAGAATAAAAAATTGTATCCTTTAGACATAAAAATACAACATAAAAGTTACTCATTGTGGGTGTAGTCTCACTGACATCATTTGAACAGTACTAGTCTAAATAAATGGAAATTAACTTCTAAGAATGCTCGATAAAAGACTGATCCATTCTTTCATTTTTCCCCCTTCCTTAAAAATATTTTATAAATACAGAAAATATCACAAGAGCATCACATACAAAATAACATAATTCAAGTGGTGGAAAAATAACCTATAACCAAGTGCCTATTTAATTTTCCTGATTTTCCATGGCTTTTATAACCTATGTTCCACATCATAAAGTTTCACTAATAAAGGGAAAATGCTATTTTCATTAATATGCAAATTGCATTGCCTTTTCATATATGAAATAAGTGGCATCAAGGGTTAAGACATTTGTTTGATCTATTTTACCATAAATGAATGTTTACTTTAGCAGGTGTTATTGACCTCTTCCTAAAAAGAATAAGCATTAGTTACTTTTCATTTAGCAGCTATAACTATTTGTGTTGATTTAAAAAGCCTTCCTACCAACTTCACATGCTTATTTCCTTACTATACCTTTAATATAGCCATGCAAGATACAAGTAAGCTACATTGGTGCAGAGTATCCAATCATTCCCTTTAATTGGGCTATATATTCCACATATTTTCATATCCTTTTCATATAAACAGTAGAAATGTAAATTGGGCAGTGTATGGCTACAACAAGCAGTAATTTCTGTGACAGAACATCACTTCTTCCCAGCTTTAGTGATGAAGGTTTCATTCAGCAATTTCTGTACACTTCTGGCTTTTGTTTTATACCTGAGAGCTGTTGGGTATAGTTGCATGTCGTAAGATAGCAGCCTTGTTCACGTGTAACAACAGTCCCTTATGGCTTCATTACCTGTGGGGGTAAATGCCTGGTGCCCATAAGCACCATTTTTGCATGTCACCTGCAGTTTGTGCAAACACAGGTGACGGGTTGTTTGAGGGTTAAACAGTCCTTAAACCTAAAGTAAGCTGTGGCTTATTTGAGGGTTGCCTGATATTCATACAATCCCGCTCCTTAGATTTGCACAATATAGAAAGCCTGATGCCCATGAATGCCATACCAAAACACCTCACAGTTCCTATTGGTTAATTAAGCCACTGTGGGCTATCACATTGTTCGAACAAGGGCACTGTGAACCAGCTTTTTAAACATACTGTGTGAACTGGGCTCTAATATAACACAGTTCATGCTATTTCTGTGTTGTACTGTGTTGAAATAGAAGCATTGCTTATAAATACAATATTTTAAAAGTTATTTTAAAAAGCAGAGTTACAGCACAGGTCTCTCTGCATGTTTAGACAATAAAAGGCCTGCAAACCCAGCATTCTCTAGGCAGACATGTATCTGTCGAAACATGCAGAATGTTACCCCTTAAATGCTTCAGCTATTGCCTTCATCAGTAATCCCACTGGATTTCAGTCCTATTCTTTTTGGTCTCAAAATCTTACTTGAAATTCAGGATGTGCTAGTGATAAAATGTGGAAGCTGAAATGTTAAAAAAAAGCCTCTCCTTTTTGTCAGCACTTAATTGCAAAAATAGGTAAATTAATACATCTGACTTGATCTAGAATGCAGCCCATTTTTTCAAACTGAAATCTATTCTCCCTTCTCTTTCTGCCATGTGTGTGCATACATGTTTGCTTTCTATCAGAATATTAACATGTTTTAAGTGATACTTTCATGTTCTTATAGACTGTAGGCTACACATTCACTGTTGGTGTGCAATTGATTTATTTCAGTTTACTTCAGCTTCAGTGGAAGCAGGATTTAGATAAAGGCTTGGAACTTATAAGCAAAGCCATTGAAATAGATAACAAATGTGATTTTGCTTATGAAACTATGGGGACAATTGAAGTGCAGAGGTAAGTACTGTACATTTTTAATTTGGGAAACTTGATTTCTAAATTACTATTGGAAATACAAAATATTATACAAGCTTATCTCTAGTTGGTTACTTGGGTGGTGCAATGCATGGGAAATAGAAGCACTGTTAGCTGCATCCTATTTAAGGAGAACCACATTTCTTTTACTCTAACCCTTATACTTCTTTCAAATTATTATGTTGTTCCAGGGATGTGTATACATTAGACAAATTAATTTGTTCAGTATGGTATCATGTGTATAATGTTCCAAGTTTATAAGTCAGCTCTTCTGCCTGACTGGCACTGTCAGCCTTGGGAGGATATTGAGAAACTTAAAGGAAGAGGAGCTAGTCTGAATCTTTTCTGTTGCAGATCTTTCTGCTGAGTGGTCCCCGCTCACTGTGGGAACCGAAGAGGTGAAAACCACAATAAGAAGGCCTGCAAATGCAGGCTTCAGTGTATCATTGCCATCATCTTCCACTAATTGGTTATTGGCCCTTCCCCACTTTGCTGTTTGTGTTTCAAATACAGTGTTAACTGAAAAGCACTTAGTGTGTGTTACATGCAAAAAATCTAGGCTAGCATCCAATAGCTCAGAAATAGGTAACATGGATACCAATAGGCAGGAGTGCACACCTAGACATTTTTTGTGGTGCCTGCCGAAGTTCCCTGTCCATCCCATCTTTAACACATTTTCTTCCCAGCAGCAAGATTTGCTTCAAAGTAAAATGAAGGCCTTTAGCCACTATGCTATTTCAATTTCCTAAGAATGCTTCTGTGTCAATAGTTTTTGCCATCTGTGGAATTAGTTTTTATTTATTTTTATAGGAATCACATTTCATGAACGTTTCTTTGAAGAATTCGTATTTATCCATATCTCTTACCATTTTGCATATTTTTCTGATTAGCAAAAAATGAAGGCTCCTCAGTTAAAATACACAGTTCATCTGTGTACCTAAACTGTTCAACAATACTAGCCAACATGGTCCCCAAGTAAAAATGTAGGCCCTTAAAAGGTAACATCAGCAGTATGAATTGGAAGTATAATGTATGTTTTTCTTCTAATAGAAATATTTCTTTACATCCACATGTAATAGTTCTGTGGAATAGAAATCTTTGGTTCAGGTTTCAGAATGTGGCACTAAATGAAGCACTATCACTAGGTATTTTCAGTTTCTAAAGTGTAAGAATGGCTTTCTCTTTGTTGTATTAGGGTTTGCTTCATTTGTGTTAATGTGACCATTTTTCTTTGTTTCAGAGGCAATCTGGATAAAGCCATTGAAATGTTCAACAAAGCTATTAATTTAGCCAAATCTGAGATGGAAATGGCTCACCTCTACTCACTTTGTGATGCTGCCTATGCCCAGACAGAAGTTGCAAAGAAATATGGATTGAAACCACCCACATTGTAAAGAAAGGAGAGAATGACCCTTTAAAAAGTAAACCTGCCCATTTTGATCTAGTCCTAAAGATGCTGTTGCAGTGTGTTGAATGGTGGAAGTTCTTTTCTATTCGTGGTGATGTAATTATCTGTTAAATGTTTAGGTGTTGTGAGAGTGAGTGTTTAAGAAAGTACACAATTTGTTCTCCCTCCAGCAGATAATTGCTGTAGGGAGATTAAAACAGTTGCAAGGGGATTGATTATTTTGACCATGCAAATAAAATCCTTTTTGACTCATTTTTTGAGGGTAGTTAATGACTGGCTCTATGTAAGGGATGTTTTACTGCTTGTAATTGTTGATTTTAAAAATACTGTATAATTTTATATGCAGTGAGTTCCTTTGGGTTGATTTTAGTTTTGCAAAGAAAAAAAACAACACAAAATGGTTTAATGGTAGGGATTTTTAAGGCAGTTGTGGAAAATTTATCTTTACAATACATTTACCCTGAACAAACTTTTCATCCCTCTCTCTCTTCTGCTTCATATACAACAGTGGCAGCTACAAAATAAATGAAGCTCTCAATATGCTGTTCTAGTGCATGATTTGGGAACTATTTCAAAGACCCTTATAATTCACTCATTCTCTTGGGTATGGCCTGTTTCCCAAGATGCATCCTTTCCCTAACATTTGTCTTCATTTGAACATCCCTGGAGAGAGCGCAATTGTCATTTGTTACAATTGAATCGAATTGTTAAACAGAATTGTTACTACATAGGCATTGCTTGTATTTGTTGTGGGTTCTTCAGTTTAGACTGACCCTGTTTGTAAAATCACCATTTATAAGCTAATGTGATTGTGCACACTTGGGTCTGTCTTAGAAATGCTGTTTAATTAACTTGAGCCCTTTACAGAAATGTACTTCTGCTGTTAAAAGAAATGTTTTATTGGTGCTGCACACAAAATATCCATGTGTGGCATTTACCTTTTGTAGCTCTGTTTAGGGCATCTTGCTATGCATTAGTGAATGTAGGAAACTGATTTACTGTTAAGCAGATGCCTCACTATTTTTAGAGGTTTCTGAAGGCAACCTATAGTCATTGTGGTACTCTTTAAGTTTAGAGGAAATTTGCTGTATGGTTCAAGTGGTTAAAGCTTTCACTTAAGATGGATCAGTTTTCTGTCCCCTGACCCAGATATATTTGAAACTATTTTACTGAACATAGCCATCTCTTTCTTAGTATATGAAGAAAGTTGGAGAGATTCAGAAAAAGTATTATTCTTTATTTCAGTTTTAAAAATCAGCTTTTTAGAAAATGTAACAGAAGCTTTTTTTTTTTTAGTTCTCCAACTTTTGAAGTGCTGGAAGTATTTCCCTCGATTCTTGTCATCTTCCACATCCAGCTGTGACTGCACTGTGTTTTCAAATGGGTTTTTTTTAAGTAAGCACAGCATTATGTACATTGACACGTCTCTCTCCTGAAAACAATTAAGAATTAAGCATGTGCTGTCTAATACTGGCATTCCGAATCATCACAGACTGTTGCCTGTTCTTCAGATATTTGAAACTGCACTGAAAGAATTCATATGTTTGGGTATTATTTTGTAAATGACTTACATCTGTAAAGTCACCAAATAAATACTTCAGTCAAATATATCTCTTACACATATATGGTCTAGGATTTTGGTTGGAAATGAAAACCAACATAAAGAATGGCAATCATGTTACATGTGAATGTACTTGAAGATACTGTTTCTGTGAATGCAATGAGTGAAACTTAAAAATGTTTTCCATTGTTAGATTGAGCAGAATAACTATTCTTGAGTTTTAAGAGCAATGGCTCAGATCCGGGCATAGCCATATTTAGAGTGGACCAACTTGTTGCTTATGGCAAATTTAATCCTATTGATTTTGTATTTATGATTTGAACCCATTGTTAAAAATAAAAAGCTGAATAACCCTGGGAAAGCAAAACCTAACATCCTAATAGCTGGTAGGAACTGAGCATTCTACTTGAGGTTGTATTATTAAGCTGCAGATATCTATCTGTTCTTGTTCCCATTAGTAGCATGTTTTGATGTCCAATAATTGCCTTAAATAAGAGAAAAAATTTTTTCTGGAAGTACTTTCTACTATCAATAGAGTAAGATTTGAAAGAGAATTAGTGCTGCTTAACGCATGCAATTTAGAAAGCAGTAATTAACCTGCTACTTGTGGGTTGTGGTTACTTTGAAGGCATTTTATATAATCTTGGCCCTGTGACAGCCCTACTATATTGTAATTCTTAGACAAAAAGGAGAAGCTGTCAAGCATTTGTGAGATACAGAGCAATCCTTCCCTTTTGATTTAAATTGTTGGGGGTTAATATATCAGAGGTGATAAAATGGGCTCAAAAATAAACTAGCTTTTGAAAAGCAAGTTCACATCATTTAAAGTTGAAGCAGAGAGAACTCTTACAAAGGATGAGCTAAGTTGGAGTTAATATGTGCATATATTTTGATGCTTTGAACATACTTTTAAACAATATCTTGGGATGTTTTTGGTGGTATTGACTGGGCGTGTTAATAGAATATTGCTGCACGTGCAAATAGTCAATGAAGTGCCTGTCTTCTGTTGATCCAGCATAGTGCTAACTGGTAGAATGAATCCCTCCAAACCCACACTATTTCCACTTTGTGTTTTCTTAAAATTTCAGAGGTTTGAAACACAGACCCCTCCCGTTAGCCCAAATGAACAAAAACAATGGGTTTCTTATTAATACACCCCTCCCTTTGAGTTCAGGCTTTGAAGGTGAAATCCATTCAGAAAGTTATCTGTCTCCTCACTTCTCCTGCATATTTGCTAGTTGGTTGTTTTCAGCCTGAAATGCTTACCATATTTTTCGCTCTATAAGACGCACCTAGTTTTTAGAGGAGGGATCCATGGAAAGCTTCCTGATAATCACAGGCACATTCCCCATCAGTTCCCTATGGGCTTCATTAAAAGACGGGTTGCCATTTGAAAACACACACCGACCTGTGATTAACAGCTCTCACCTGTGCCGGAGGAGGGGGCAGAGCAGGGTGGCCAAGTGCGTGCTGGCCAGGTGTGGTGCAGCCGTGCTGGCGGTGGTCTTCTGGGCGGTGCGGCGGCAGGTCTTCCCGGGCAGTGGGGGTGAGCAGTCTGTCTCTCCGTGCGGCCGGCGGGTTAAAGCCCGTGGCTGCTCCTCCGCACCGCTCCCCCTGAGCGGCACAGCTCTCACCTGTGGTGCCATGTGGTGCAGGCGTCCTGGGCGTCGGGCACACACACATTTGCTCTATAAGACGCACAGACATTTCCCCTTTTGAGGGGGAAAAAGTGTGTCTTATAGAGCGAAAAATAAGGTAAGGGGGATAGCTTGGCCTCTTCAGTCTCCTCCCCTCCCTGTTCACTGGGATGACAACCCCTTTAATTCTTCGCCAAGTCTGTTTTTCCAGCCTCAGAGAGGCAGTCAGTGCAGTTGTCTGCAGTAGCTGTGATGGGAGGAGGGAGTGCTTCAGAACAAATCTCATGGCTAGAGCTGTTTTTGACTTTGAATCTGGATATCTGAAGTACCTTATGATGCTGCACCCCCCCCCCCCATGATGTCGAGGCACTACAGGATTGGCTCCCAAAAAACTATAGCATACCTTTAAAAATAGGAAGAGGAATATAAACTCTCATCTTAGTCAAGTTAGAGGACGTGTATATGCATGGTCTTAAATCTTAAATTTCCTTTTTATGAATTTACTATTTTCCCACAATGGCATGCAAAAATTATAGATCATTCTGGTCCAAGTAAACAAGCTTAAAGAGGCAACAAAATGTTATTCCCTCAATTCAGATTAATGACTAATATGCAGCATCAGCTAAAGAAATAGTAAAGAAATTTGTTAATAAATTGCATGCTAAGCCGCCACAAGTTCTATTAAAACAGTAAAGCCAAAAAAAAAAAAAGATGATAAATGAATGGTGAATGTGCATACCTTCCTAACAAATCAGACCATATTTCATTAAACAATTTTTAAAACAGACTGGGATTAATAGAATATTCCTTGATGTCAGTCTCCTTATAAATACTATGAATCAATCCTGTTTTTATTGGAGGGAAGCTAAATTTTATTCATAAAGAACTGAAAACTAAGATTTGTACAAACCTAATTATCTTGTTTAATAAAATGATTTAAACTTTTGAGACAAATTTTATCTTAGCAAGGGAAGTCTAATACTAAAATAAGTTAAAAATGTGCCATAAACCAAGGATCTGGTTGCCTAGAATATGGTTATACTTCTTCCAGGTTTCTTAAATGTTTGGTTTTGACACTCATTTTTAGCGAGATTCAATGTTATCAGTAACCACCTGTGAACTTCCAGTGATTTTCTTTGAAGTGTGAATAAGAAGACTAAAATAAACCTAAATAAAAATGTATTCATAATTATTAGGGAATATTCAGAGTTGTACAGAAGTAAAATAGTCAAAATATATTTTATGCTGTTACTGCACTGCCTTATGAATGACTTTTTGGTTGTGTATCTGATTTCACTGGGACTTACACTTAAGTAAGTATATATAGGACTGTAGCCTCAGTGACAGAAATATTAAGTTGAATATGTTTATTTTAGCCTTGGGATACAACAGGAACTTGCAGAAGTACAATAGACTGAATTAAATGCGGACCTAGCAAACTGCAAGGCTTACTTGTGTACCTAGATGTTGAATATTTTAGGGCCTAAGAGAAAGCTGCTGGAAATGTCAGGATATGGACATTGAGTCTCTTTCATGGAGTAATAGAATTGAACTGGAAAGAATTAATGCCATCTCACCTCTTGCAAAAGATTGTAACCCAATAAGCATGAACAAAGGATACTACAATTCAGACAGATGACAAATCCCCAACCAGTACTTAAGTTGTATAAAAGGGTACATGCATAAATAGGTAAGTACTGCTGAAGGACACTCCTTATATTTACATAAATGGACACATAGAGTTATGGGACTCTCTGGTATTACCATGGCAGGAAAAACTCACCTGAAATACTGGACAGCAGCTGCCAATGTCAATAATACTGAACTACTAGTTGGACCAATGGTGCTCAAGTTCACTCTGCTCAGTATATGATATCAAACAATCCAACTCATTTTTACCTTGCTTCTCCCAAATCATTTTTTTAATATTTGAAAAGGTACAAAAATACAAGGTTTTTTTCTTGTATTTAGAAAAGCTTGTATTTCAGTTAAACCATTTTAAGCCTACGTGTTTAATAACTACATTTATACTAATTAGGGTTCCATTTTAGTTCCATTATAATTGTTAATCCAGTGCATGGTGTGATGTGACATGATATAATCACTTTGCTTCAGCTGGGTTGGGTGGGTCTGCTCAGTGCTTCAATGGAAGACAAGCTGAGAACCTCACAAGTTCTGTATGTAATTATGAACAGCTTGCCCAGTATCACCTAGCAGGATTGGTACAACAACAATTGATGCAAGTTGTGATCAGAATACAGAACCACTGTCAACCCCGATATTTTTGGAACAGACAATATGTTGGTTGCACTGCTGAGCAAGTGTAACCTGCACAGGAAGATACTTTTGCAAAGTTGATTTATTTGAAAAATATCACAAGAAATTTTTAGGAAAGAGTTATTTACTAATTACACATTTTTCAAAAGAAATGGGGGGAATAGTACTCATTGCAAATATTTTGGGGGACACCTAGAAATCCAGAAAAATATGCATAGCACAAGCATTTGTTTTAATCTTAGGAATTGTATTCTCATAAATCCAAAGGGAAGACAATTTTGAAAACTGTTGGGTATAAAACAGCAATCTGATTTCCTCAATTTCCTCAACTGTCCTCTCTAAGTAAAACAGAAAGCAAATAAGGGGATCCACTGTTGCTAGTTGCTGATTACTCATTTAGAATGGGTACTGCCAAAGTTAATCATTGCTAACAACAGTGCTGTGAGTTGGCAAATTAGCTGTTCAGTTTTAATTAAAAGATTTTTTTTTCAGTCTTGTGTTTTGCCATTTTTGGATGCTCACCAATTTTGTCCATGTCAGGGCTGGAAGGCAATCTGATAAATTTGTTGAAAAGCTGAACATGCTGGGGTTAGAAATATTAAACTCATTTCAGTCCTTGCATTTTATTGACAATATTATAATTTACGTATAATTTATTCATTTTGTCAATAAGTTCATAAATATCGACTTGACACAAAAAAAGGACAATTTGGCATAAGGCCAGTTGACATCAGGTTATTTGAGCAACCACCTTTTAGAGTGGTCTGTGCTACAGTAATGAAAATAAGGACACCTCAAAATATAAAGACATGTCAATCAGAAATAACTGAATTGCTATTGATTTAAAAGTAATTGGAAAACTAAATATTCCCCATTGAGGCAGTTCAAAATCCCTAACTTCAGCTTGATTGTACCCTTACAGTATAACTATATCCATAATACTAACAAGTAAACACTGAGCTGAGTGGAGATTCCATGTAAATAGGTATAGGAATTCAGCTTAAAATAACTTCTTATGAGAGTAATTTTTGTTGCATGGTACTGTTACATTTCCATTTTACATATGCAACAGCTGAAATGAAGATTCTGATTGATTTTACTCTGAATGTGATTAAGCTTGCACCATATTACTTAACTGAGTTTTTTATGGTTTATTTTTGGTGCCTATGTGGGGGGGGGGGATGTGTGTTGAAAGAGAACTATCACTCAAGTCCAAAGAAAATAGAGCTAAGATAGAGGTGAAGAATTTAGATTCTGGCCCAGAGATATATGATGCTTGTGCATAGCAAGCAATTAAAAATGGACAAGAAGATGCAAACAGGCATCTGACGCTGACTGCCAGATTTGTTTTTTAAAATAATATTTTAAATATATTTTACTTTATTCTTGTTCTTTGCTTCTTTTCATAATGTGTAAAATGTATTTACTAGTTCCCCCGTGGCCCCTCCCAAAAGCAAAGGCAAGATAAAATCTTTCTGGTGATGAGTAGGGTACTCTCACAATTTCAGCATACTTTCAAAAAAAATCCATACATCAAATGTGTACGTGTAGTTTACCAAAAACACAAAATGCTGGGGAAAGTGTATTTAGAGCCAGGTGATGCTCAAACAGTGGCTATTGGATGCCTCAGCTTTGACTTACTCAGGGTTAACAGTTGCTCCTCACTCTGACTGTTTAGAGGATTTTCATGATTTGCTGTTTGATAACAACCATCAGCAAAACTTACTCTGAGAATAAGAGCTTGGATTCAAGTGCCCTCCCTCTGTCCTCACAGCTGGTGCAGAAAGAACCATGTTTATAACTCTGAAGTTGTGATAGCAGCAATTTTACACTTCACAGTGAAAAGGAAAATACTCCTACCCTTTGAAAATAAGGACAAAATGTATTGCCCAAATGGGATAATTTGAAGCATAATTTATTGCTTTAGTTTCTCAAATAATTTCCCTAATTTACAAGACACTGCTCAGGTGGCACATCAATCACTTCTAAATTACATTGTGAATTTATTTAAGCATTTAATATACCGTTCGTTAGCATGGACTTTCAGAACGGTGAAATGGCAGAAGTATGCAAAGACATAAAAATAATACTTGGACTGTATTAAATGCTTCCTACACTGGGATTTTATATAGAAATTAAGCCAATTAAAATTTGGTTTATGAGTTTCTTATGCTAAGGTTATTTCATTTTGTTATTTGATTTCCCTACAGATATAAGAAAAGATAGGAGACATACTGGTCCAGGTCACTACTGACATACAGTTTTTGCTTGTACAGCATAAAGGTCAGAGCGTTTCTGGGAAAGAATGGGGATTTGCTGACGAATTTCTGTAAGCTTCTTTAGATCTGTAGAAATAAATTTAAAAGCCCATATTATTACGAATACTTTCCCCTTTCTATATCATAATAGGTTATATAACTGTTATAGTATTTAAATCCTTAACTTTAGGACTTCTCAAAATGAGAAATTTTACACTGGCAGATCTAGCCAGCTGTAGATTAGCAGAACAATTCTATTTGAGGTGAGAGGTATCAACCCTTGGAAGGTCCCAAAATACTCACCTATATCTGCATAGATCACAGTTTCCTCGGTGCCAGCTTTGGCTATCACCTCTCCCCTGAAAAGGAAAGCATACACTATGGTTATGCACAGTGAGTTGGGTTCTAATCTACCATTTCACACACAGAAGTAACTCTAATCCAGTGGAGATGACTCCTGGGAAACACAAGAGTCGCAGGCACCTTTTTCTGTCTAAACATGCATACAATTGTACCCTAGCATAGGGTACCAGTATGTCACATGAAGTACTTACAGCTTCACACACTCATAAGCGCATTAAGAACTGTGCATGGTCAAACCAAAGGGACTGTTTAATCCAGCATTCTGTTCCCACATTGGCTAGCCAGATGCCCACAAGCAGGACACGAATGCAATAGCAATTTCTTGCATGTGTTTCTCAGCATATTGCCCCAGTCCTGGACATTATATATAATCATTCTGACTACTAGTCAGTGATTGCTTTTTCTCCATGAATCTGCGTTTAAAACCATCCAGATCTGTGGCCAACACACCATCTTAGAGAAGCGAATTCCATAGTTTATGTACCTACTTTCCTGTCCTGAATGTCCCACCACTGACTCCAGGTTTCCAGATCATTCACCTAAGGTTGCCCATCTGTGGTGCCAACCATTCTAAGCAGAAGGAAACTGGGATAAGCCTTTCTATTCAAGGTCTACAAAGGATATGCTAACTTTAGCTTTTCAGTTGAAGAGCCACAGGTACAGAATAAGAAGCATGATTGTTATCACAAGTTGTTTCAAAGACCCATTGTACCGGTTTGTCAAATAGCATTTTAGGGCAAATAATATAACTGCCATATAATATGTTCAGTTTGGCTCCACTGATATAAACTGAACATTCTTAGTGCTTACAAATTACTTAATTAAATTACTGAACTCCAGAAAGGATAAATTTAAGGGGTTCTAAAGTTTTACATTTTCAAAGTAATTTGGACACCATAATATGAAAATGTATTGCAGACAAATTCTTTCTTAAACACACACTAACTTTCCTGTAGGCTGAGCCAAGATACACTGCTTGAAAATCTCATTAAAATATTATAGTGGTTACTAATTTTATACTGTAGTTTTAAACTCTTCTATTTGATCATATTATATTTTATGGTTGGAATTATCAAACTGCCCAGACAGCTTTAGTTATTGGTGGTACAGAAATGCATTAAATAATTATATAGCTCAAAACCAAGTTTTACCTGGTGAGTAGCCTGGTGGTTTGCCACAAAATCCAAGAACTTAGATAAAACTAAAATGTGAAGGCTTCCAAAGAAAAATGCCATTGAAGTTATTGCATGTATGCCAACCACAGGGACCTCCAGGCAAAGGTTTAATAAGGCCCAAGGGGGTTCCCCATCTGGCTTGGCAACTTCCTCCCTTGGTTCCACCCCTTCTTATCTCTGTTGAGTTTTCCCTGCAGGGCAGAAGAGCCTGGCAAGAAACTGAGTGATTCAGTCCTGCTTGCTTCTAAGTCTTGTCTTACAGAGGCTTGCTTGGGAGTCAACAAGCTGCTAATTCCTACTTCTGGGGAGATATGCAAAAGCTCAGTGTTCAGCATGATTCAGTCTTCCTTAGTTCTGAGTAGACATGGTTCTTACAGTAAAATAGTAGGGGGATTTTTCAACTCTATCCACATTTGCATATGGCCTCACTGAATTTGCATGTGTATCCACCTTCCAGTTAAATGCAGCCTCCCAGAGATTCTTAATGTAAAATTTGGAATTCTGTACCAGTAAGCAGTGCTGCATGCGTGTCATATGATCTGAACATCTTATCCCCACAACACTTGGATGGCTACATTCTGTAACAAAACACTGCATGAAGCATTTCAGATTTTAACTGGGTATTTCATCTTGTTAATTTTATCTAAGTCTACTAGTGTCCTGCCAGGGTCAGTTTTCCTTCTCACCATGGATTCACTGCAGAGCTATGTCCCCAGGCTACATAAGATGCCTTCTCATCCCTAGCAGGAGATGCGGTCACCACATAGACCTGGTTATCGACAGCACTGCTTGAAAAAGAACAAAAAGTTATAGCATAAAGTGTCATACAATGGATAAGAATTCTATCTGGCTGCTAAATACAACCAGCAACTGGAATGGAGCAGCTTTATTTTGCTATTCATTTCCATCTTACCTTCTGAATTATAAGAATCATTCCCATGTCTGAATACTTAGGTAAATTTCAGTTGTAAACTGGTAACATTCATGGCAGGCAGATAAGTGAAACTGAAGAATTTCAAAGTGGAATAAATGTACATCTAATTCAGTGGTTTTACAAAGTATGAGGGATCAGTATGAGGGAATTTCCACTAATTATGGAAGTTATTAGGAACTCCCTGACAAGATTATGGACTGACATTTCAGATGGGACTACATTAACATCTTTATTTTTAGAACTTCCATATAGCCTGAAGTGCCTGATTCTGCATAATATTGGAAGCTAAGCAGTCAAGCCTGGTTGAAATCTGGATAGGTGACTTAAAATGCCATAAACTGCCCAAAGTGCTTCAGCTATGGGCACTATAGAAATATAATAATGGATTGCAGACACCTAATACAGCAGCAACTCAAGTATAAATGGTAGTTTAAAAAACTATTGTTAAATATTAAAAATAGATTTAAAAATATAAAAGCAACAGCAAACAAAGCAATGCACTGAGTCACTATTTTATCTGTTTGGGTGTGCACTTGTGGCAGGGGACGCTAGTCATTCTCACCGTCCTCTTTGCAACAGTTCCCAATGGGCTGGCCCAGTTGTCAAGTTAAAAGCCCCTGGATATACCAAGAGCTGGCAACCTGAGTCAAAAAAGGAGGACAGAATGTCAGACTTCAAATACTATCAAAAGGAAAAAAAAAACATAGTCATGGTAAAGCAGCATCAGATGAAATCAGATTATTATAATCCTGAGGCTATCTTTTTCAATTTATTATAACATGTATAGCCTGCCTTTTTACTTTTGCAATGTACCCAAGGGGGCTAACAAGGTTCTTCTCTTGTCCATTTTATTCTTGCAACAACCCTGTGAGAAAAGTTTGACTAAGAGTGAGTTGTTGTATTTACATGTAACATTAAACCATGCAATGTGGTTACTGCATGGCATAATTTTTCACCAGATTGTTGCATTCAGATGACTGCATGGTTTCCACGCTTGTGCTGTTTCTACCCTCTTCCCCCATTCCTCCTAAGCAGAGGTCCTCAAACATTTTCAGCAGGGGGCCCGTTGAAAGGTGCCGGTGCTAGCTGCGGGCCGGAAAGGTGGTGCTGGCGGTGCATGCGGGCCGGTGAGGGGGTGGGGTGGTGCGTGCATGTGCACTGAGGTGGGGGTGGGGTGCATGGCAAGGCGGGGGCGGGCAGGCGCACAAGGGGAGGTGAGGCAGGCGCACAAGGCAGTGGCTTGCTCACTTGGAGATCGTTTTCTCTGAGCGAGCAAACCGCTGCCTCCCTGCGCAAGGTGGGCGGCTGCAGACGTGCGCATGGGCACAGGAGGTCCAAATGGGCATGGTGGGCCGCATCCGGCCCCCAGGCCTTAGTTTGAGGACCCATGCTCCTAATGGTAGCAGGTCTCCCATCAGCCTCTGCAGCTAAAGTCAATCCCAGGGTACACTGCTCCTGCTTATTTGCCACCTCTCCCTCATAAATCAGTAGAAGCAGGCTGTGCCCTCTTGTTCCCACTATTGAAAAACATGGCTGCAGTGACACAGAGATTCAAGTGCAGGGAAAGGGTGGCTGTGCCAGAGAGAAAAGTGTGCCAGATGTTAATAAATCTAGTGGTCTCTTCTGCTGCTGCACAAGCTCTGTAGGTGTGCCCCAGTAGTAACCCTCATGCCCCAAAGCACCCTACTCCACTCTAGTCTGCATCCAGACACTATGTCCACCATTCACTAAGCCTGGCACTTCCCACTCCCTAACTGCAGGAACATATGCCAACCCATTTATGTGCATAGCTAGCTTGCAGTAATGTGCCAAGAGCTTTGACAGCCGCTCATGGGGCTGTGGTTGGGAGAAGCATCAGTACCAGCATCTGTACCATGGCCCCATCCATCATCCCATCATCTCTCTGCAGGCTGGATAGGAAGCCCTGTAGGCCACTCAAATGTGGCTACTGCAAGGAAGTAGGCTAGCATCCATGCTGGGATGGAGGCTTTACCACAGGTAGTTCTCAGTCTCCTGGGAAATGAGGATCTCTTGCCCCTCACACTTGGCAGTGGTGAGTAATGGCAGGTTAAGGGTGGCAGAGGGGAGAGTGAAAGTGGGGCTTGTTGACAGTCCCAAGGAATGCCAGGGACAAAACAGGAGTGGAAGAGAAGGCTGGGGCAGACTGGGAACATGGGTTTTTCAGTGTGATGTTTCATCACCTGTTGGGTGATGCCCTGCATGTTTCTCATGTGCTTCCCTCCTGTAGGGGCAACTTTGCAAGGAGGAAATTGATGCTTCTACCAGAAAAGCAATGGGAGAGCAGCTCATGAGTCATATTTGTGTAAACTAAAGCAATCAGATAGGAGCACCAAACATGGCTATCTCCAACGTCACTGCTGGAGGTGGCATGGTTTGCTTCTTCACTGCCAGTGACATTCTAAAGCTGCAGGTGAGTATCTGGAGGGCAGTGGGAAAGCCAGGAGTGGGAGGGAGTGCATAGGAAAAAAACTGGAGCATGGCTAGAGATGACATGAGTTGATAGGGAGATGTGGACTGCAGGGCTGCTGGCAGGAATAACTCAGCAGTGGTTGCACAGGACTTCATGGTAGCAACATGGAAAGCATATTTTGGGGTTTGCATGATCAAGCCATGGTGAAGCATGGAAACCATACAACATGGTGAAGCATGGAAACCATACATGTACCATGTTTTTCTCCATGGTACATGAAAACCAAACAGACCCCATAGTTTGACTAGGCTCAACAACACAACTGACCACATCATGGTGGTTTCTACCACTATTTGTTGTTATGTTTTAATCCAGCCACTGGCCCAAAGTCACCCAGTGAACTAGAACCTGGGCTTCTGGAGTATTAGACAAACACCCTAATCAAATGTATTTGTCATTCTAGAGATTCCATTCAACAGAAAGGGCTTTCAGAAAGAGTTACGCCATACAATTAGTCATCCCCATGCAGTGCAATGAACAGCAGCTCAAGGTATTATAGTAAACACTTGATTAAAAAATGGAAAAGATAGAACATGTGAATCCTAATTAAATAAATGAACAGAAGAAAAAATGTCCTCTCTCCCCCAAAACCAAGAGAAACAATTTAAGCTTTAAGCGCACCTCTTTCCTGATATGAAAAAAAGCCTAATGCAGCAAGACAAGATCAGAGTTTTGTTAGTCAGATAATTTCCGCCTCTTTCTACCAGAAAGAGCCTCTTAATGCTCACTCTAATTATGCCCAGTTGCAGCCTACACACCTGTGTTTTTTACTTTCTGGTACATAAAGCTTTACAGTAGGAAGTCCAGATGCTTCTAAGGCACACATAGAAGGAATGGCCAGGTATTCATTGTGATGAGAACCCACATGTTTCCCTCTTTCACAAACCAGGCATTCAACTCAGCAGGATGTTCTCACCTTTTTGTGCGTAGATTTGAGCAAGCTCAGCAAAGCGCATGTCATAGCAGATACCAAGTCCTATCTTACAGTATGCTGTCCAAAACAAAAGCATGTCAGACATGTGTTACTGCACTGGTCAATCCAAGCAGAAAACTCCATCCAGAAAGGCTGAAGTCTAGTGTGTAATGATTCTGTTCTCTTTAGGAAGAACCTCTGATTTGTTAAAATCTACTCTAAATGACAGTGGAGGAGAATGATATAAGCCACTTTGAGATTGTTACAAGAAAAAGTGGGATATAAATTTAATAAATACTACATAAGATTTCAAGTGTTCTATACATTCATATAGAGACTACACTGTAGCTACATCTGCAGCCATGAACTACAACTACAAGCACATACTATTATATTTAATGGCAATTCATATTAAACCATGAAGATATTTTGATCTGCTTATCTAACAGAGATTTAGCAAAAGGAAAAGCAATATGAACAGAACAAGAAAATCAACACACATTAAAATTCAAGATCAAAGTCTTGGCTTATTTTTGAAATAAGCTCTTTTTTTAAACAGTAAATGAGAAAATCCCCAAAATTTGATTATCACTAAAACAAAGAGTCTTTGCTTACGGGTATCAAACATGCAGATCATGTCACCAGGACTCAGTGTTTCTGATTCCTGAAACCGGATTTTCCCGGGCAAATCAATGTCAAACAAATGAATCTATTGCAAAATACAGAAAAAGACTGCTTGCAAATTACTCAGCACGAATGACATTAAGTGGATATTCTCTTCACACACTTTGTTTTAGTATAGTTTTCTGCTGTATGAGTCTATGGGTCAAGGAATGGAGACACCCCCTGCATTATCCTAGGAATATATAGCCTGAACTTAGGAAGTCTAACCCACACTTCATGGTAGTATGTGGAGAGAGCTAGCGAGATATCATGACTAGTGGATGGGTTCAGTGGAGCAGTATCCACAGCATCTCCTGTGAACTGAACTGGTAAGATATGGGAAAGTCACTATTTTGGGGTAGCTGATATCACATCGTAGTGAATCTAGTCTCCAAACTTATCTTGTCATAAAGTCCAAATGTAACAAATAAGTATACACATAGCTACTCTTTGATGCTATATTAATGTTAAAGAACTTTATTAGAGCTACCTCAATAAATTGCACATGGATATATGTGCATGTGTGTGATTAATGGGACCGGTAACGTCATCTGTAACTGAAAGCCAAACCCACAGATGTGAGACATTTACCTTTCTGTACTTGGCTAACATAGCACCATCTGGACCAAAAACTGTACAGGTGTTATAAAACTTCCCTGAATCATCCTCTGGAACAGAACCTTCCATTAAAGAGAAGAAAGCAGTCATTATTTAGCCAGAGTTAAATGCAATTTCTCTACTGCAATGCACTCTACTTGGGGCTGCCCTTGAAAACAGTCCGGATACTTCAACAGGTACAGAATAGAGCTGCCAGGCTGCTCACAGGGACTGGCCATTACTCTCACATTACTCTTCCAGTTGAAGTCCGGGCCCAATTCAAAGTGCTGGTTTTGACCTATAAAGCCCTAAATGGCTTGGGACCAGAATACCTGAAGGAATGTCTCCTTCCTTATATGCCCTCACACCCCTTAAGATCTGCGGGAGAAGCCCTCCTCTGGGAACTCTCTCTAAGAGAGGTAAAAAGGTCATCAACTCGGAGTAGGGCCTTCTCTGCCATGGTGCCCAGAATCTGGAATGTACTTCCCAGAGAGGAATGCCTGGCGCCGAGCTTATACTCTTTTCAGCACCAGACCAAAACCATTTTATTCAATCGGTATTTTAAAAACAACAACTTTTAACCTTCAGCTCTTGTTTGTATTGTGATTTACTGTTTTGTGTTCAGTTTCAATTTATTAGAAATTGTTGTTTTAATTGTTCTTTTAAATATTGTAAGCCATGCTGAGATTTTTGGATAATAGGACGGCATAAAAAGTTTTGAATGAATGAATGAATGTTCTAATCCAGGCTTACCCAACCTGGTGCCCTTCAGATGTGTTAAACTACCAGATCCCCAGCCACTGATTAGGCTGACTATGAATGATGGGAGCCTGGATGGCACTTTGATTTAGAAGCCTGCTGTAATCCAGTAACTGTATTTATTAACTGGCCCTCCCAAAGGATGGTAATTTACCTCCAATGAGATATATTCCACATTCCTTTGCAATTTCTGAGAGCTTCTGTGTGGAGTCCCCAGGAATTTTCTCTGCATATTCTGGAAAATATTTTGTGCCATATGGACTATTGAAGCATTCCTGGAAATAGAAACAAAATATTCATGACAAATGTAGGACGTACCCATTTAGAAAGAGCCAGTGTAGCACAGTGGTTAGAGTACTAGACTGGGATTCAGAAAGTCTGGGTTCTAGGCTCACAGAGACTTTGGGCCACTCACTGACTCTTAGCCTAACCTCCCTCACATGGCTGTTGTGAGGATACAATGGAGAGAAGGAAGGTGTGAAATGTAATAATAATAAACATTAACACAATTAATTTAGGTAGTCCGGATGGAAGAGCAAACATCATCAGCTGAGTGCTCCATTGGTTCTATTAAAAGGAGAAGATTTTTCAGACACCAGAATTACCATTATTTGGACAAAAAAGATTTCTCCCTTCTCTGATCAAGAACTTTGCCCTGCTGAGTCATGCTTCACAACTGAAGGTTAATGACCAACTCAAGCAGGAGAGTTCTGGGGGAAAGAGACACAATGCAAGTGGAAAAACATCAGTGCAACAATTCATTGACACTTATTGGGCAAAGCAATGAAACATCATAATAAAAAAGATCACATTGTGAAAAAGTATGTGAAAATGTGGCACAGGAAAATAAGAAGGTTAAAGAAAAAAATATATGAAGATTAAATCTGAGCCTGAGAAAAATAAGTGGATGTCTCCATTGCAATAATTTATTAACTAAATTATTTTTGAAAGTTATTTAACCTAGGGTGCCCTGAGATGAAGAGGTTCGAGTACTAAATGTCAGAAGGAACTGTGTACTTAATTTTGTTTTTTCTTCTTTAACAGATTTTCCACAGTAAAAAAGGGATGGAACAAGGCCTGGAAAAAGACTGAAGGGTTGTAAGTAGAAGACATCCTCACCTACATCCTTCATAAGATTTTGTGAATGGAGCATGGTGATGGCAGGATAACATTCTCTTCTAGGAGCATCTTTCTGTTAATTTATACAACTGTCTATGGCAACATTTAGATCTGGTTTGCACACCATGAAAATCCACTGTGGATGATCAGCCATAGTGGATCGTTGTGTTGTGCAATCCAACATGGTTTCTGCAGGGTGACTTACTTGTCAAGAGCAAGCCATCCTAAAAATCCATGTCATGTTTTTGGAGCTGCTGTTAACCATAGTGGCTTGTTATGTCATCCAAACCTAGCAAGGAGAGTTTATTGTGGTTTGCCAGGAATACTTGGAGAGCCACCTGGCCAGAACAGCAAAACCTGCCACTCCTCATGATCTTGTTCATGCTGCCACCCTCATCCCTTTTCACACCCCCTACCCCATTCTCCTGAAAACTGCAAATGTCAACATGTGAGAGTGAGTAACAGAGGGAGGTAACAAGCAGGGCTAGAAGGACTGAAATCTGATTCAAATAAGACAGTTCTTTATATCTGTAACTTTGTATCATTCTAAAAACAGTAGGAAAGGCTACTGGAATCAGAGGCTTTTTCATGGCAGCACTCTGACTTCACAAAGCCTTCGCAGAGAGGCACACACAACAGCATTAAAATTAATTTTTGTTCAATTTAATTAGGGTTGATCTTTTCTATAGGTTGCTGTTACATGTTTTAGGAATGGTTGCTTATATTATGCATTTTGGATATACTATATTTTGCATTTTTGAAAGCATATTTTATTGTTAACTGACCTGGGAAGTCTGTTGAAGGCAAGATTTAAAATATACAATCAGCTCCAGGACTCATAAGTTTATGCAAAACATATAAAAATAAGTAAAACATACTATTGTAATTTAGTTATTTCAAAGCCTGCTGTAGAAACAAATCATGCTAGGAAGAAAGACTGAAACAAAGAATGCATGACTGTAGAAGAGTAAGTTTTGTGGAGTAACAGGTTGAGAATACTCACTGGCAAAACCACGAGTTTTGCTCCCTGCTTTGCTGCAATCCTTACAAATTGGCAGGCTCGATTCAGGTTCTCCGCTTTGGCAGCAGACACGTGAAGCTGGATGAGTGCTAGACGAAAATCTAAAGAGAAAGAAGGTAAATACTGAACTCATAAGAAAGATCCTAGCAAAGTACTTTTACACATTAAATCAAAAGCAAAATCCCCTAGTATTATATCTGCACTGCTCTAAATGCTGCATTGTCTAGTAACTTACTGATTGTAACTGCAAGTCTGAGAAGGTTGGAGCCTACAGAAGAGAAGATCAAATAGAAGAAATACTTTAGGGGGAAAAACCTGAGAGTCAGTAGCAGTATGGGGGATGAAGCAGAATAATGACAACCAGGGACAAAGCTCTAGCATGGTTATGTACAGCTACAACATGTTCACTGATAGAGGAACTGAATGGTGCTGCACTTTGCAGCCACTCAAGTCTCCATAGGACTAAACTGACAATACCATGCTCCCAACATTTGTTTCTTTCAAGGACAGGCCCATACTTAAGTGTGAGCATCTAAGCAGAATGATTTGGACAACTTGAGACTGTTGGGGCTGTGACTTAAAAACAAGATGCCAGACAAAGGAGCAAAAGCTTAAGACAACACATGGATATCAGTCTTTACTCAAAGTATTATTTCCACCAGCCAGCATTTTTCCTCATTATTCAGCTCTACTCTGTGTTTTGTCATGAAGTTCTCTCTTTCAGAAACATCATTTGACAATCTAACTACTTTATAAAACAGAGACAAATAGATAGAATACTTTCCAAGCATATGAGGTGTAAGAAATCAGTTGAGGCTAAGATCGGTAGCAGGAACAACCACACACACGTGACTAAATGGGAAAACTACCTTAATAAAGAAGCATAACAGTAGACATTTGGAAACAATAGGCTATTTAAGGGTTTGCATATATGTACTTGTGAAATACAGTCTTCACAAACTATCTGCTGTGATTAGACTGGCTACTCTGCCTAATCACATGGACCTCCACAAAGGTTTGTGGCATTGCCAGTCATGCTAGTAATAGATGCAATAAACAAAGGTAATGTAAGACACAGGTCTAATGCCATTTTCCTCAGTTTTCTGTAAAAATACAGCATCCAATTAACCCTCAGTACAGCTTCACTTTCAAAGGTTTGTGCAAAGACCTGTGCAAAATATGTGTAAGACCTCCTTTATATATCTATACTGTGCTGTACAAATGGTATGCATGAATCCAATTCATTCTTCTTGGCTCCTCTCACTAGTGTGACTAGCTAAACAAACCAGAGATCCTGGATTGTGGTTTCCCTTGCTTAGCAAGGGTTCACAAATCCTGTCTTGTAAAGGAAAGAAAAACCCAAGATTCCAAGGTTTGGGTGACACATGAAACCATCCTTGATTTGTTCAGCAAGCTGTGTCAGCAGAAATCAGGAAGGAGTAAAGGAGCTGCATGCAGCAGCATCTGGCAACAGTTACCCATGCACTGGTTAAATCACAATTTAATTACTTCAATGCACTCTATGTGTGGGACAATGCTTGCTGAACATCTGGACACATTTCAACTACTGCTAAAAGTAACAAGCTAGGATGAAGACAGGTGCATACAATCACATCAATGCAATACTGCAATGTGTTGCATTTAAACTTCAACACTTGAAACCCCTTATGGCCTCAGCTGAGGTACTGTCTTGGAAGGAAGGAGAGGCCCTTTTGGAGACTTACAAAGGCCATCTTGTTCAGCTTTCTCTCAACATACTCTCTTTGAATTTCTGGTCCCCACTCACTCTCCATTTTTAATTTGGCTTTCTACATTTGTGTTATTGTTTTCAAATGTGTCTAGCTTTAAAGTCATTTCATAGTTCAACTATGCAATGCATGATAGTCCTGAATCCCCCACCACCAGGCTACATTGAGTGACCCAAGGCTTTGCCCTTATGCAACAGCAGGAAAAAAACCCCTCTCACTATCCACTTTCTCAATGTGACAAAGAATTTCATAACTTGTTCATGGCAAACCAGGATTACCTGGCTTATTACACAGTGTGAACATGGCCATACAGTGCTGTCTCTACAACTAGAAGCATCACTTATTTTTGTACAGCTACAGAGTTTCCGAAATGTCTGAGATAGAATTTAGAAAATAAAGGTTTTCTAAATTCACTGGAGAAATACCCAGGGCCGTCTTAACAGCATCATGGGCCCCGGGCAAAGCAGTGTACTGGGGCCCCTACTACAACTACTGTTAATTTTGGAAGTTTTCCAATTTTCCATGGGTTAACATACACAGATAAGTATGGGGCCCACAGGCAAGTGCCCATCAGGCCCATGCGTTAAGACGGCCCTGGAAATACCCACATAACTTATACAATAAACAAAATATTCATACAAAAGAAAAGAGCAGTTTATCTGAGTGGCAGTACAGGGGATGAAGCAGAATAATGACAACCATGGGCAAAGCCACGGTATTGCAAGTATCACACCTGTTTGGATAGTTTTAGAACATAATTCTATGCATGTTTATCCTATTGTATGGACTTATTCCCTAAGTGAACAAGAGCACAATCGTCAATGCTACACATTTCAAAGCAACTCATATCTGTAAAGGAAAGGAAGTCTAAATGCTTTGAAATGCTGTTTGGTCATCCCCAAGTAGTTTAACCGATTTACGACAATTTTCTTTATTGCCATAGCTAAAAACTTGCAGCATATACTTTTTACTTATTTTGCACAAAGGGAGAGCAAAATATCATTTAACCTAGAAGACTAATGAGTAGGGGAGAACCTGCCTTGGCAGGATCCCCCTGCAAAGAGCACGGTCATCCAGTAAGTGCACCGAAACTTCGAAAACTAGAAAGAAGAATTAGGGAGGATTATCATTATAGAAGTAATATACGTATTTCTTTACAGAAAACAGGCACCACAATCAATGATCATTTTTTCTTTTTTAACCTGGCTCTACCCCCCTCAAAAATAGCCGTTCTGGTGGAGGAAAAAATCAGCTGCGGCCACAATCCTATGCATGCCTACTTAAAAGTAAGTTTCGCGAACCACAACGCAGCTTAGTTCACATGCACAGCGGGGTTACGCGGCCTCAGCGCCCGACCAACGTGCCCCTCTCCCCTGACCGAGGCTCAACAGCACAGCAAAACGCAATCCTAGAGTGGGCGTGAGGCCCCTACTTCCAAGCCCCTTCCTCATTTCGTCTTTGCCATGGAAGCGAAAACCCCCTTGAATCACGAAGCTCCCCACTCTAGGAAAATCACTCACTAGCCATGATTCCTTTCACCAGCTGCTGCATAACTACGAATGCTTACCGCCTCCTGGTAAAACAGTTATAGCGTTTTCGGCCTGGGGAGGGGCATAGCGGGCGAGGCTGCTGGGAAACGTAGTTCTGCTGGCCGCCTGAACGAATTCACGCGCTTTCTGCTTGGCCTGGAAGAAGACACTTTAAGTTTGCTAATTCACTTCCACGCCACGCTGGAGTTGCTGAGATGGACTGAATGCATTCATCCAGAGCAGCATTCTCCTGGTGGGTGCAGCCTAAGGCAAAAGCGGTGAGGTCGAATTAGCAATTCGCTTACAGGTCATTTTGTCAGGTGAGTCTTAGGAGAGTCGTTTCCATTGTTTAGAATTTGGGGGTGAAGGGGAATGGTACAGAAGGCAAAAAACCGCCAAGTAATACGTAGTGGCGGGGAGAAGAGGTGGGGCCACCTGGGGACTCTAAGAGGGGCCCGCTTAAACCTCAGGTTTTCTACCCCAGCATGGAGCAAGGCCAAAACCGTCACCGCCTGGAGAAGCATAGCTTCTCATGCTATCAGTGGTGCGATGGAGGAAAAACTAATCTCGCGAACTTCTGTGTGTCCTGCAACTGCTAAAAGCTCTAAAGACAGACAATCTTTAGATCTACTGTGAACAAATGGCAACCACAGTTGCTGTATTTGCTAATTCACCTCCATGCCACCAGGTTTTTTATTTATTTATAAAATTTGTATGCTGTCCATTACTTGCGTCTCAGGACGGCTTACAACATAAATCAGAATAAAATAGATAAATTGACTATTCCACGCTGACTGCAAGTAATAAAATGCAAACAATAAAATCCATTTTCCATTAAAACATATTAAAATGTTGATAAATAAAAAGGTCTTGACCTGGCGCCAAAAAACATAGTGACGGCGCCAGGCGGACCTCTCTGGGGTGCGCATTCCATTTTATTGTTTTATTGTTACCTGCTTAACACCAGGCAGCTAAAGGAGTTGAAGAAATACACAATTGTGCAAACAGAAGGGGCAAGCACACAACCACCTCCTTAGGGCCAGTTTAACTGGCCATTTATCAGTGGATGATGCATAGCAAGTTTCAGGTAATCATGTTTAGATCCACACCATGGCTATCTTTAGTAGTAAATTTTTGCAAAACCTAGTTCTGTTAAAAGAATGGGCTTGATCCTTCTGTTTCTGTTTCCTTAGCTAGTTGGCAACTCTGTTCTGTTGAAATATCCATGCACATTTACTCAGTAGTAGGTCACATGGGACTTTATGTCATATTGGTGTGCATAAGATTCATCTTTCTTGAGATGTCAAAGCATTTCTGTGTTCCAAAGACAATTGTTCAGAGCATTGCCAAGGTGGACTTGCATCTTGATCTTTGTGCCTAAAAGGTACAATACAGAACCTTTCTGGCAATATTGGAATCATTTACAGATTAATCCAGTTAATGCTTTGCTCTTAATTTTTCCTGATGGACTGTGGGAGCCCCTCCCCCGCCCACACTTTTAAAATAGTGTCTTCTATTTAAAGGCTTTTTGTATTTGAAGCGCTGCCCTGATCAGTTCATTATTTTTAAAGATAACTGTTGCCCATCACCAGTAAGTTCTGGGACAGCAGACTTAACATAAAGAGGGGCACAAGTCACTTGGTTGGCTACTGTATTACGGTAAGATGTACTGCACTTCTATTTAAATTATAATATTTTAAATTTGCTTTCTAACATATACATCAGGATAAATTAATTTTATACAATTTTAGGGGGGTGATATTTTCTCTTCTGGGAAGATTACATAGATTTATATATATGAAGGGGAGACATGAAACGAATATGCCCATTACTCTACCATATTTCAATTCTAGTGTATTAACCATGAAAAAGAGACCAAATGTGGCCTTCTGGCATTGTCTGGGGGAGGCATAGGATAAGTTGGAATCCTAGCTCTGACCTCAAGAATACCTTCTGAGGTAGGAGCTGGTGCTCTGAACTTGGACCCCTTTCCTGCTGACATAGTTCTTTTTGTACCAGCTGGCACCCAAGATGGAAGGCCACCTTCAGAGCTCAGATAGCATAAGGAGGATGTTCCAGCGTGCAGAGGTGGGGGAAGAGAGCAGCACTGCCATCTTCTGAGGAATCCTGGTAGTGCTGCTCTCCTTCCCCTGAGCCTCTTCTCATTTGGGGAAAATATTTTGAAATGCCAAAATCAACTGTCTAAATGTTTTGGAGAATGAGGAGGGGATGCAGGAAATTCTCATTTCCATGCTCTTCCTGTTTTCCATGGAGTGGTGGTAGTAGAATGAAACCAATTATGTGGCTTACTGGAAAGTAGCAGTTGGAGGGTCTCATCCTCCTGGCCATTGTTACAGTCTTTTGCATGGAGTCCATAGTTTCATCAGTTTTGGAATTACAGAGGCCTTTACCACTGTACAGCAAGTGGTACAATGAGCATAGGCTACTTGTGACAATTTGGTGGAACATAGCCAGGCATGTCTCAAGAATGTCACTGCTGTGATGGTTGTTTTGGCATCATAATCAGCTTGATGCCAAGTGTTTTTGTTTTGTTGGCAGGAGAGTCAGGATGCTTCCACCTGGAAAATTTTTGCCAGCTTTCTCTGGTCTTCTGGCAAATAATTACACAAGAAACTTGTCACAGGAAGCTCTGATAACATGCCATATCTGCTTGATGGTTGGAGATATGGAGGCCATGTGCAACAAAAGAATACATCCAGGATCCCATCAGAGCCACACAGCAGTATTTTCCATCAACAGGAACTGACTGAGACTGGTAGGACTTTCCTTGTGACAATTTAATCATGATAGAATTTGGTCTAGTGTGCTGAAAAAGGAAACAGACATGATTGCTTGGACTTTGTGCATGTTTTCCAGACATCTGGATGTAGGAGTCATGGAAGATGGGACCCTTTCAAAAATGTTTTACTCCCTGCACTGTCAGTGGGAACAGAATAGTGACTGTGGTCAACATTTCATTATAGAATGTATCACAGTCTGGGCCTTTTACCCCTTTCTTGGGCTGCCGAGTGTCTAAGCCTAGGAACTAGGCCATTCATACTTGATCTGAGAAACAGACCAGGTTCTCTGACGAAGAGAGCATCTTATGCACGTACAGCCATTTGTAGGGAGAATAAGGGTGGTACAAATAGAAGAGCAAGAGACCAAATCTGGGGAAAGTAATCAGCTCCAGAAAACAGTGAGTTTATTTGAGTGTAGGGCCCCAGGGAGGGGTTTAGTGAGGTGGGGATCTTGTAATAGACTGCATGATAGGTGTGGGGAGTGCTTATGTGACCTGTGTTAGACCACAGTAGCAGCCTGTTATTCTTATTGGGGCCCTAGGTAGCAGTAGTGATTCTGGAGGAGGAGGACTGTGAGACAGAACTGAAGAACATTTTTTCAGATAGACCCGAAGGAAAAACTTGAAGTAGCAAGGGTTGAAATAGTTTTTAATCTAGTGACAATTTCCAATTGTTTGCATAGGAACAATAGCTGGGAGTGAGAGAACATACAGAATGTCTGTTCTAATCTAATACGTGGTATCTGGAGCATACCAGATATCGTCTGCATTCCCAATTGGTATCAAGGTGTGTTGGTGTGTGATGAGCAGTTGAGCTCATGGGTTCCCATCCTGCTGGGTCAGTGGAGTTCAAGTAGGAAAAGAAACTGAATGTTAGGCCTCTGGTGCAAAGCACTGTAGATCACATCCTTCAAGATGGAAGCTACAGAAACTGGGTCCCATCTTGATACTGATACTTCTGCCATTTGTTTAGCCAGTTGGTTGAGATCTAACTTAGACCAAATAATTGACCAATGGTCCTTAGAAAACTTTGATGCATTTTTTTGTTAGGTTTTTTTGCTACGGAAAATGCCAGTGACTAAGTATACAGAACTAGAGCCCATGTTAAGAACCCTAACAAGTGATGTTGCCCCAGCAGATGAAGTTGGAGGATCCAAAGTAGAAGGGCAGTCCTTCTCCATTGATTCTAGAGTTGATGGCTTAAAGGGCCTTCTTCAACGAGTCCATTTGTTGGTGATCTACTCTATTTCTCCAGGCCTGCTTTGTAAATGCCTGAAAATGCAGGCAGGCATCAATGATGTGGCCCTTGCCCCAAACAGAAAAGGCAGAGGAAATGCCAATCTGTTAGTGGGAGTTTACTCCTGTGCCTTATGCATATATGGAAATAGACCCAAGAAAGAGTCTAATTCTCTCAAATGGAGGAATAAATGCAGAAGGACAATAAGAAAATAAAATGTTGAACAAAGAAGAAAGGCAGAGCTGCAGGGGAAAAACACATCTGCTAGACCCAGTGAAGTTTCCATGACACTGCCACAATAGTTGCTGAAGAACTGAGGAAAAGGAGCAGAAATTTATCAAGGTATGCTGGGATGGGCTCAGCTCGTATATCCTCCTCTATTGAAGCTTCCCAATGTGATGCTTGCTGCAGATGCAGAGCCCATCTTTGAGATATGCAGAGACCGTGAAAAAGAACTGTATCCTTGCTTTTGTTGACAAATGTAAAAACATAATTCAGTGCATTTTAAATACAGAAAAAATTAAACCCTCAGAAATGACTGAGTCAGATGAAACAAGTTTTATCCAAATGAATCTTGCTCAAATAGTACTGGATTTATTTACAATGGCAGTTTATAAACAGTTACACAAACAGCTTTACATTAATTTTATGAGGAAAAAGAATCTCATTGCTGAAGTAGGCACAAACTGAAGGCCCTTCAGATTTGATTTTGTTTTTAAAGAGGGGCAGGAGAAAGAAAAATACAACAGCTTTGAGGCAGAACTATAAATACAGGAGCACTGGCAGAAGTGCAGTACATGCAATTCATCTTCAAATACTTATTTTACTATGTTTGTTTAGATATTTCTAAATGGGAGTTAGTTTCAGGATTAAGGTGCCTTAATTCACCTTATACAAGAACATAACTTAAAAGAGCTGATTGTTATAAAGGTCAGCTGAACTTATTTTTTGATGGTACAGTAATAGTACCTTATAGATTTGTAGAAGTTGTTTTTGTTTTTTGCACACTAAGATTACTTGAACTGTTATTCTCAGATCTTACAGGGTTTTCTATCACACGTATACAACTTGCTCTAGCATCCATAGTGCATTCTAATCTCTCTCAAACATTTTGCCAATATGTGAAAGTGACAAGATTTCCAATGAAATCTTCTCAAGCACTGAAGACATTATTTAAAAAGTGCAACCGACATGTCTCAGAGAAAAGATGTGCCATACCTAAAATGATTGCAAATATGTAGCACACTGATCAATATGCTTCACTTCAACCTGTGCCAAATAGTTTCTCAAAGGACAGCCCAAAGATTATGTTTGTCTCCCTTCACAGTGGCCAGCTCCATCACACAAGGCATGAACTGTGATTTCAGTGTACTTTCTAATGCTGACCTTGGCTCAGGAAAACCACAGCTTTCTTAATTACCCAACCACAGTGTAAACATTTAATTGCTGTGCAGTTTAATATTTTAACTTTAGTAATTTCATTTTTAACCTGATAGTGCACAGAAAACTTTAAAAATCACTTACACAGAAGAATGTGTATTCCCCTCTCCCAGCAATTTTTTTCTCCCTTTTTTTCCAAATATGGTGAAAGGTCTAGTTCTCCCCCTAAATACTGTGTCATTGTTTGATATGCAGATTAAAGAATATTTGGTTCCTAGGGCTTTTAAAAATAGATAATACTTTTCAGTTTGTAAGGTAAGTTCCAAATATGTTCCAATACCTAGTCATGTTACATGTCTTCAATACAGTTCCTCAAATAAATCTGTATAATCCATTCTTCTTAAGAAAGTCAACTCCTCTAAATCTACTTTAAAAATAACTGACCTTTATAATAAACAACTTTTCCAAAATCCAAGACTGTTAAAGAAAAATACTTAAAAATCTCTCCAAAATGTTTAATTTACCCCTCTCTTAAACCTGCTACCCAAGTACTTCCATCAGTATCCTGATATATCCTTTTAGGGTAGTATTCAGCCAGTTGTTTCAGGTCCTTATCTTAGTTGACATTTTCTCTTAAAGACTCTACTGAAAAAGTATTTTCTTATTAACTTTCCAGTGCATCCAGAACTTTCATAATCTGTTGCTTGATAGCTTTGGTGGCTTCACCTGCATTTGGAATCAAGTACCTTGGGAAATGGAAACGGACATATCAGTTGAGGATATATGAAAGATTTAAAATCTTTTCCATAGACTTAAATTCAAAGTCATAATAGCTAAAATCTGCCAGGGTGATAGAACTTTCCCCCTCTTGCCATCCCTCTCCACTTCTGTGGCCAAAAGTCCATTTTGGAAGACTTTTCTTGCCTCTGGAGAAGATTTAGAGGGTTGATGGAGGTTTCTGGAGGGATGTCTCCTCCTGCTCTTAGTGACAGAGCAAAATATCCAATGTGAGATATGTTATCTTCCATCTGTATACTACAGAGGCCATAAGAGACCCAGTTTCAGAATATTTTAATGAAGTTCCTCTACCTACAGGTAAGGGAGACATGCTTGCTATTATGTAGAAAACCATGATTTAAATCTAGTATTCCTGACTAGTGATTTAATTTTTTAAATTGATTTAAATAAAATGCACCCTGATGCAGAAGAAGGTTGCCAGTTTGTCTGTTATAAGGTTCCTTCACCAGCTTGCATTTCTTCTCAGCATGGCTTGCTTTGCAAGACCAGGCCTGGCAAGAGAGAAGGTCTAAATGCTAGAGGGACAAATTGCACCAGGATTTGTCCCAGCTAAGCATATAACACCACGTCTTGACTACTTGCTTTGGCTGTATGCTTCTAAGACCTATATTCAAGGTGTTGGTTTTAACATATAAAGCCCTATATAGCTTGGTACTAAAATACCTGATGTAGTATCACTCCAACCACAATGTTCCCAGACACTACATTCCACATCTGAGGCCTTCTTCCAAATGCCACCTCCAAGAAAGACTCAGTTGGTGGCAACAAGCAGGATGGCCTTCTCTTTGATCGCTCCTCATTTATAGAAGATCTACCCACTGAAGCCAGCCCAGTATCAAATGTACTATCTACTTGGTGCCAGATTAAGATCACCCTCTGCTGAGGCACTTACTGACTCTAAATAAGAAGGGGGGGAATATTGCCACACATTTTTCTTTTTGGCAGGCCCCAGAATATAGACTACTTTTAGTCAGAGAACTTTAGCTATTGGGCAGTACAGAAATAAAATGAACTATATTTGGGATTTTGATGCCCATTCTCCCAGCTTGTAGAATAGGCTGAAAAGCAATGGTCCCAATACAGATCTTTGTGGAACCCCACTGGTTATACCCTTCCAATGAAGTTACTTTTTATCCACACTCACTGGTCTATTACAGGGACCTCCTCTCTTATTCTGTAACTGCTAAGTTTGCTTAGGAGTCTTTTGAAGTCATAAGTAAACAATGATCACCCTGTCTAGCTATTTACTGACATGTTCAAAGACACACACATTCAAAGAGGGGAAATGATGTTGATTATTCCTCAGCAGGTCTTGTTCCTCCATATGCTTACTAATTTAATTTTTCATAATGCTTTCAACCAATTTACTTGGAACAGATACTGGTCTGTAATTTCCCAGATCCTCCCTGGATTTCTTTTAGAACACTGGTGCTACATTTGCTATTCTCCACTCTTGATACAGAGGCTGATTTCAAGGCCATGTTGCATATTTTTGTGAGGTCAGCAATTTCAAGCTCGAGTTTCTTAAGAACTCTGGGATAGATGCCATCTGGACCTACTGGATTTATTAACTTTCAGTTTGTTAATAGTGATGCAACCTTTATCTTTTGTCACCACAAACTGTTTAGTCCCTCAAATTTCCTTTCTGAACATCTGTGGTTTGTAGATTGCAGTCTAACATAGCTGAAATATATGTGGAGGTATTTTAGGTTAGAGAAGGCAAATTAGCCTTTCAAAGGACAGTATGGTATGCTAAGTGTGGCTCTCTACTGGTACCAAGATGCTGCAACTTGCCAAACATTACAGCTGATCCTGGAAAAGAATGCATTACAAATGATTGGGAAGAGTGATGTGTAGATGAATTCCAACCAAACCGCAATCTTACCTCTCAATTGCCAAAATCTCTATGCCTGTAGTGGTGCTGTTTCCATACTTAAAGGTTATTAATTCAGGATGTTTTTTCTTTGATGTGATTTTAACAACAGAATTTAATGCTTGTCGAGACTGTATATAAGCAAATCCCTTTCGAGAAACGATCTCTCTCAAGCAGTACATATGTGTGGCAGTTACAAGAAGATGACTTTAAGTAAAAAAAGAAAAGTTAATCGGAAAAAAGCTAAATTTTTGTTAGCAATACAGAAATGAGGAAAAATAAGCCAAAATAGCTTTAGTAACAACAGTTTCCAGAAACTACAGTACTCAGTTTTTGGATCATATGCCTTAAAACACTTTATAATCACTTGCAAATACTTCTTTCAGAACTAAAAAGTGGTCATTCCTGTGATAGATCATGGAAGCACTTTAGCCTGATGCCAGAAGACTCTTATCATATAGTTTTTGCAAAATAAAATAAAATAAAATAAAATAACTCTTGTTTTGTAAAAAAATTCAATCAGAAAATCTCTCTTGGGTGGAGTACCACAGCCATTCTCTCTTCTATGAAAGGACCTACTATAGTCACTTCACAGTGAAAAATCTGTGAGACACCCATTTGTGCAAACATGCGGCAATCTATTTGGAAGGCCATTGAAATCACTGGGGTTTAGTTCCTGGTAAATATGGCTAGTGACTTCGGAGGTTACCTTATACTCTAGCTCAGTATACTTGACCATAAATACAGAAGTGGCTCTCTGGGGTTTTAGGCAAAGATTTTCCCAGCCTTACTTGGGATGATGGGGAATGTCGTGCATGAAGCTCCGACAGAAACAGTGACTCACGAGGAGACCTTGCACTTGGCACCCAGTGCCCAAGAGTCAACCCCACAACCCAATGCAGGGACGGCTGAGCCAGCTACTGCGTCTTCCTCTGAGCCCCAGCACGTTGAGCAAACGCCTGGACCTTTATCAGAGACAGAGAGTCATGAGAAAGAGGAAGCTGCAAGTTCTACTCAGAAGGAGGCAGAGCAAACTGCCTCTCCCCCCCCCCCCCCATGCTGATCTCCTTGAGCCAGAAACAGAAGACACAATAGGTGTCGTGGATTTTTCAAGAGCCCAGAACGGACCTATTTTACGCCGAGTTGAACAGCTACAAAGTAGACTGCGTAAGAGGGAGGAAAGGCGTGACTTGGGAGAGTGATCCCACGTTGGCTCAGGAAGAGAAGCCATTATAGGGCTGACATCTGCTTAGCAAGGACCTCTATTAGGGAACTTATCTATAGAATTGTAAATCTTGTAGACAATTAGCATTAAAGGACTTTAGTTTTATTGCTGTAGAATGTGTGGAATGTTTACATACCGGGCTGCCCCTCACGACAAGGAATGAATCTGGGACCTTCTGCATGAAAGCATGTGCTGTACCACAGACCTTCCATGACTAGGAACATTGAGCCTATGCACTGAAATAATCTACACAATGTGCACCATGAAATGAAGAGAAAACTCTGTAATGCATGGGGAAAATGACTTTGTTAATCCACACATTTTCTGCCATCTGAAATGCAACTGGTCTTTATCAAAATTACAAAACTTAACCTATAAATTCAGGTACTTATGTGTTATGATTATCAGTGTATCACTTACCAAGGAAATCTGTGTCCAGTTTCTTTCACCTCAGTACAGGGGAAATGATACTTTATATCTGGCTTATTTATCCAAGTCTGGATATTGACAATTTCTTTTCGATCATCATCTGACACTGAGGTGTTATCGATTTCATCTGTTTAAAAAAGAAAGAGTAGTGTTATAGGGACAGAGGATAAAGCAAACATAATTGTTTACACATCATCTGAAGTGTTGACATTCTGATCAGCTGACACACTGGCTCCTACCCTCTGATGTTATCAGCTCTCCAACCCCAAAACAGTTCTGTATCCTTGTTAGCAACACTTGTATAAAAATTATCTATGTGGATCTGTATAGTACCTCTTTTTTGACTTTCTCACACATTTTTGTGCTACAACCTAGAATTCAAATTGATTTAGTAGGCATCATCACATGAAGTACAAAATATTTTTATTCTGCCACGAAAATCAATAACTCAATTATTTTTATTGGGGCAGAGGGGATACTTAGGTAGCTAACAAGTGCCAGGTTTTTTTAATTGTTCTGCCCCAATAAAAATAATTTGCAACTTCAGAGTGCTAAAGATCTGCGTAGTAAATGATAACAGTGCCACATTAAAGTGATCTCAGTTATAGGTTATAGCACAACAAAATGGGAAAGCCAAAGGGTGTGTGTGAGGGTTTTTTTTTTTTTTTTGCAAGGCACTGTATTTAAAAATCTACTTGTCTGAGTAGTTCAGGGTACATTTTTCATCAATTATTTTGTTTTAATCAGTGAAACTAATCTATTTTTCCATCAAATGCTCCAACACTAGTTGGAAGTAGGGATTCAATTGCACTAATTGACAAAGTAAGAATGCATGATTCTGAAGCAGAATTTTACAGTGATATGCATTTCAATTATAAAATCAGCCACATTTGTGCAACATGACATTAAGTGGAAAGCTTGCTAGTTCTTCTGCACTATCATCATAGCTGACATTTATTTAGTATCAGAAGACTACTGGGATTACTATAAGCAATTTCCTTACCCAATGTTTCCATTCTATTTTTTTCCTCTTACTTGTCCTACATAACATATTGCAATCTAATCAATGCAACTGATAGTTCCAACACCAGTACAGTTCAGTCCTAAAAGCAAGTCTAAATATAGTACTGGAAGGCTAGTTTGTTTTCATTCTTCAGTGATTTCAGATCACACGTTTGGTTTTGCAAACAAAATGTCCCAACTGCCCTCAATCAACAAAGATGGATTTTTTGCATTCATGAAAGCCAGTCCCTTTTTAAAACTCTGAGAGGCCCAAGGGCTGAGTGCTTATCTGATACCCCCTCTTCTCCCCCTTCATAATGTGAGGGCCAGAGCAGTTGCCCCATTCTCTACTTCTTGCTGCCAAAAAGTACCTGATAAACCCTTAACACAAATCTTGTTTTCCCAGGGGTTGTGCATGATCATACTCTAATAAGGCAGTTATTGTCAAACAATGTTTTGTGGAGCCTTTGGGGGGGGATCCTTGGAAACTTATGAGGAAGGTCTACATGAGAAGATCAGTAAAGGCAGTCAAGCTATCCCTCCAGTACTGATTTCCTCTAATGTGTAGCAGAAAGTTTGCTATGCTTTAGTTTGGTTGCATTTACTTCAAGCAAGGCAATAGTGAAACCTAACAAGCCTAGTCAGTGTCCTACATGAAATAATTATGGGGTTTAGAATATGTCCTGAGATTTTAATCAGTGAACCTTGGTTATACCATAAATGTGCAGCATTCTTCAGCAAACTTTCCATAGCAGAAAGTCTGAAAATACTATACAAGGATGCAAAACAGAGAACAACCTTGGTATAGTGAGAGATGCCTTTAACTTGATAGTAAGATCAAGCAGTAGAGTATCACTTGGTAAGTTATTTATTTATTTAAAGTTTTTATATGCCGTCCCCATTGCTACACAGCCTCGGGATGGCTCACAACAACAAATAAATAACACTAACAGAATTACAATTACAATTAAAACTTGGAAACACACTGGCTGCATAAGTAAAACTATAAATATTAAAGATTATTAAAATACTGTTTGAATAAAAAGGTCTTGGCCTGGCGCCAAAAAACGAGTAACGACGGCGCCAGGCAGACCTTTCTGGGGAGCACATTCCACAGATGGGGCGCCACCGCAGAGAAAGCCCTCCTCTGGGTACTTTGCTTCCTGATATCTGTTACGGAAGTCTCCCGGAGAAGAGCCTCTGCTGCCAATCTCAAGGGGCGGGAGGGCAAATATGGCAGCAGGCATTCCTTCAGGAGTAATAACTCCTGATTTAGTTACAATTTGGGACACTGACTTTGCTTAAACTGGAGTTCAGACTAGACACATTCCTTACTATACCAGTATCATATTCTTCTTCATCTCCTATGCTGAAAACCGGTTTCACGCCACGGTAAGGTTTTCCCACTCTGTCGCTGCTGCTGACATGTCTGTTGGCAATGGAAAATCACAAAGACAGAGAGAAAAAAAAATCCTACATGTTTTAAAAGAAATTATAGCACATTTCACAAAGCAGCATGCAGGAAGGCCAAAACATTAAACCTGTGTGTGGAGCCAGTGAATTTCAGAAAAAAGCCAGCCATGAGAAAGCAGAGAGTGGCAAACTAAGCCACAATGAATTAGTGAAGCAGGTAAGAAGGTTATCTCATGGACTGAATTTACTACATTTATGGAGTTCATCCTGAGAAATAGGTGCACGCATGGTCTCAGTAGGTTTGGTCACAGAATATAGCTCTCTCCTAAACAAGTCAAAGCACCTATGTGGAAAGTCAGAAGTATCTTTAAATCTTTCTCAAAATACTGAGGCATGTTACCACTCATGCTATTTTTTTCAATGAACAACACTGCTTTGGTAAGATAAAAAGTTGAGAATATTTAAAAATTAGTTTAATCTCCAGAGAATCCATTTCAGCACATAGCACTACTACCTTAACAGGTACAGTATGAATGATGACATTCCCTCTTTACAGTCTTTTTCTGGATGCTTGTGTGTCCTTAATTTTTTACTGAGTTACTAAAAATGTAATTTGGCCTAGATAATGACTGCAACACTGAATGACTTCATAAATCATAGCAAGAAGCACATTTCCAACATATATGCAAAATCATTAAATTTAATGATTTAATTAAATCTTTCTACAGTTCTCTTCTTATAAAATGGTTCTGATTTTGCACATATCTCCATACTTTTGTTGAAATGGCTATGGAAGAATAAATTTAAATTCTGTAATGGGGGGGTGGGGGGTGGGAAAACAGTATTTGTTTCTATCTCTGAGGGCAGATTTTAAGACCTGTTTTCTAGGGTGTTAAAGAAGATGGGAAAATGAATTGTTAAATGAGACTATCCAAATAAAGCAAGGTAAGAAGTGCATGTTAGTACCTTAGACAATAAGCATTAGTAACACTGACAAATGTTCACATGAATGGTCTGTGTGAGCGTTGTAAAACTAATCTGTGCTTTATAAGGAACTGTTTTCAGAGTATTCAAAAGATCTGAAATCAGTAGCCTTTAGCCATAATACCTATTTGCTTGCAGTGATCAGAATTATTTGAATGACCACTTCTATAGTAAGCTATGTAATAAAACTTTTCTTAGAAGCACCCCTCACTAAAAACATCTTCATCAGCCTGGGATAGCAAATATCTGACTGTTGTGAGCTCTAGCTTTGGTTTCTTGTTTTCACTCTGACAAAAGATCCTTAGCTTGCTGAGCTAAGTCCTAGAAGATGTGCTGCAGGAAAGCCCCACAGAGACCTGCTGGCCTGGATGAGAGGCAAAGTCCACAGTCATTAAGCACAGGCTGACTAATACAACACTTAATCACAGCTCATAAATGCCATGGGGGGTGGTGGTTAACAGTTAGATCGTGTCTTTTCTCCAACAGTAGGTTCTTTCAGTTCTTCATGTCTGTGGATGAAGGGTTATATACACCACCTCTCTAGCCCTGTTCCTAATATTCCCACATTCATTTAAAGGTTGGAACACAGCCTACACATGTACAACTGTGTAGAAGTCCAGCTCTGTAACCACACAGTTGGGAGCCCTGAAAGAAGGGTGCCTTACTACACAGAGAAAGCCCTATGAACACTGGGTTAAAACCAGTGTCATCCTAGCAGAGGTTTGTTAATGCAATAGGACCCCCCTCCCTGCAGGTATCTGTGCTGCCTAAAAATCTGCTCCAGAGGATTTCCCACCATTCTGGAGCAGGTTTTGAGGACACAGCGGGGCAAGGGGAGAATTGCCCTGCCCTGGTTCTGTTGATAGAAACAGTCCCTTCAAAGCAATGACACCATTAGATGCAACTCATGTAGCTGCACACATGTGGCTCTATGCCAACTTGCAAATGAGGACAGCATGTGTGGATCCAGCTTCTCTGCTCATGAAGAAGGCCCTTATTGAGCTTCCTTACAGGAAATGAGAGTAAAATAAAACTTTTGCAAAAGTGATTTTGGATGTCCTGGCTCTTAAAGACTACTTTATTATTCTTACAGTGTACAGATTTCTGACAAAATGTACAAACTGACTAGGCCAAAACAGACAAGATAAGAAGAAATAAATAAATGAATTCGTTTTCATATCCTTTAAAGCAGAGGACACCTCTCTAAATATTTGAAGGTGCCAAGAGTGGTGGAAATGTTATAATGCTATGCTCACTTAGGCTAAAAATAGACACATTCATGCAGACCATTATTGCAATAGCTACTAGCAAGTTTGGTATGATTATGACCCAGCATTTGCTTTATTTGTACTATAAACCATTCAGTACAACTTTCCCTGCCCAAATATATTAAATGTCATCATCTCAGGAACAAAAGAGGCAGTCAAATCATCAAGTATAATTCAGAAAGGAATGTTCCTATGTTGCTGGCATCAAGTGTGGCGACCTCTAGGGGGAGACCTCTGGGGAAACGTCAGGATTCTTTCAGCCCTGTGAACTGGGATATCACATGAACTTTTCTTCCAGTCAGTGGTACAAGTGAAACTTTGATCTATCCCTGCTGTTCATTATTAGTGTAGACAATCAACAAAACAAATAAATGTATTTCTCACAGACTGCTGGTTCCCAGTGTGTCAGAGGTTAATGAGGTAACCCTAGGGAAATTTATCAGAATCAAATCTGTTTGCACCTGACATCAGTTCCTAATGCTGCAGGCGTTTTCCTGCCTGTAATATGCCCGCACCCAAAAACAGTTATAATAGTTTTGCAAGAGAACTTTCATCTTTCTTGGAGCTGAGATAATGTATAAAAATGCTTCCATCCTCTTCATTTTTAGAAGCTTCTTATCAAGGATACCTGCTGCCTTTCTTATTACACATGGGCCTGATTTGGATAATATCTCAGCTTATTAAGATATATACCCACCCCTTTTGCCTAAACTTGCAAACTTTTCCTTCTTCCACACAAGCAATGATCAAACCTAAAAATTGCTAACTAACCATAACTTTCCATTTCATATAAACCAGGAAATGAGGGTTACTGGCTGGGAACAAGCTAAGATATTAAGCCAACTTCAAAACATAATTTAATATTTGAGTTTGTTCCAAGTTGTTCTTTGTTTCCTAGTTTGGCTAATCTAAGAAACCATGACTTGGTTCAGAAGACATGCCACAGTTCATCAAGGGTTGTTTAATGCATAAAGAGCTGCAGGGCACCAAATGATACAAGAAACCCTACTCAGACATTATTGTGTTGTATGAACCTACCAAATACAAGTTATACAAGGATTAAACAAATCCTGCATAACTTAGATGAGATGTGATCCTCTGAATGCACTTATGATGTTTAAAAGCTTGAAAGAGAAGAATCAGCATGGCATATACTATGATAAAGAGGAAAGATGTTCCAGAATGAGCAGTGAGTTGAGGAAAAATATAGAAATATATCAAATACAAACAAATATGAACTACTATTGTGTACACAGAATTTTCTCCTTAGTTTCTAAGACAACATGTGACATCATAGCTTTCAAGCCTAACTTGAAAAAATAATCTAAGGGAGATTGTCAGTGTCACCAGTGCTTACATTGTGAAGTCATGCTAAAAAAAGGCAAAGCCAGCTTTACTCAGATAGCTCTGGATAATGGCTTACCGCAGCATACTTGCTCTCTCAGGCCAGGAAAGATTGAAAGGAATTCTACAGCAAATTGGGGCAGAGGACAGAACAAAATAATTAAAAATATAAAAAATAATATCTGTTTGATTTCTTCTCATTTGGAAGAATTAGAATCAAGCTGATTTTCATATTCCCAGGCAGGAAGCATAAGATAAAAAGTTCCTTTTTATTAGCATTTTAAAATGTGTATTTCACATAATACGTATTATTTTAAGGCTTTTAAGGGCTTTGAACAGCAGCTGCTAATTTTCCACACAGGTAGAAATGTTTCAAGTTTAAGTTAAAATATCTCAAAACTATTTTGGGTATGAGGATTGACAGATAACCTTCTCCTGAATCACAGAAAGCCTTTGTGATCATTCGTTGCTTAAAATTTAGAAGTTCGAATTATTTTACAGGCTTAAGAAATCAAACATAACTGCCACTTTCAAAACAGCAAAACACAATTAGAGAATAATTAAAAGTGTTTTTTATTCCAGTGGCCACACTTGAAAATGTTATGGGAGGAATTCAGCTTAGAATAACACAAAGCTTGCCTTCAGACAACAAAAGCCTATCATGACTTTTTTAACCCATGGCAAGCCACTGGGTTGGTTCTTGCCAAATGCAACTTCTGCTGAGAGGTTGTCATGTTGTGTGTACCTGGAATCGTGAGTCAGGTGAGGGTGGTTTAACTTTTGCCCAAGCCACACTTAGCAGATTTGCATCACAGGACAATCCCCAAGAAAACATCCATATTCATAATGGCACTTGCACACACTCCGAATGCACTGTACCCTCTCCATGGATTAAACACATGCTGGAATGTCATGTCACGTCAACAACCCCACAAGCAAATTTGGAGGATCCAAAATGGAGAATAATTAACTGCCAGTGCTTCAATTAGATATTCTGAAGGAATAACATTTGCATTAATTGTTTTAGGTCACATATAAGCCAGTAGTTTAGAGTTTTTGTATTTGTAAAATGCATTTGAACTAAGTTAGGAATGTGATCCAAGAATTCCAGCCCAATCCTATCAACAGCAGCCCAATCCTATCAACATTTACTCAAAAGTAAGTCCCACTGAGATCAAGGGGACTAACTTGCAAGTAAACATCCACAGCTAGGAACACTGAAGCAAGCCAGATTAAAGTAACTCACCTATCTACTGGAGTTGAAGTATTTTCAATAAAACTAATAACTTTTTCTTTCACATTCACAGATTTAGTCTTCAAAGCTTCAGTCATCTTGTTTACCAAAGACTTGACACCCTTTCCATCACTGGAACCATTAGGAGAATCACCCTGTAAAAGCAACAGCTCTGGTTATTAAGCTAAAACTATCAGGTCAGTAAGTCTTATTGCCATATGTTACCTCATTGCCTAAAGGCTTATTGCCAAGTTTTACTTTAGAGATAGAGCTGCAAGTTGGCTAGAGAAATATAATCTAGGATAACAGATTTGTGTGTGTGTAACTGTATAGAAAGCAGCTGAGAGCACTATAGTTTGCTTTACTACTTAGCCAAATGACAAAGACAGGCAGAAATCATAATTGTTTGAGAATAGTCGCAAAAGCACCATGCAATACATACTTGTGAAAACAAATGAAGGGACAGAGTAATGCTTCAGCTGTAACACTTCTGCACAAGTCTAGAACCAAATAATCTGGAAGAGGTATCACAGGGGGTGACATCTGCATGAAGAACCACCACGCCTTTTAATAAAAAGATCTGAAACAGTCTTTTAAACAGCTGAACATTTTAAATAAGTACACTCACATCAACCAAGGAGTTAATGCTACTCTTTGAGCCTGAAGTACTAGCAATCCAGTGACCATATCCATTTTCTGGTCCTTCCACGTTAATGTCTGCTAGGTGCTGTTGCAGTGCTGTGAGAAAGAACAGTAAATTATTTAGTGTCACTATAGCAATATTGTCCCTGTTTTATCCTTGTTATAAGTTGTACACTATTGCAGATGTATTTTAATGAAGAGAGAATAAGGTAAAATATTCTGCACTTGTTTAACATATTTATATTATTTTATTTCTTTTTAAATCCACCCAATAGCAAAGGTTCTTAGGATGGTTTATATAAAGCTAAAAAAATCCAATGTAACACTAAAGCAACAGCCAGAACATGAAAAAACAATATATAAAACCTTCCCTAATATCTAAATGCTGTAAAATCAAAATTCTAAAGGTGGATTCCAAAAATGGGTTTGCCCACAAATTACTTTGTTAAAACTTAATTTTTGTCAGAGAAAGTTGCAATGCTACAGTCCTTCCTAGATTTAAGAATGGCAGCTATTCAGTAATAGGGCAGCGTTTCTGAAATTGCAAAGTATGAGAAGAGGTATACACATAAAAAGTACAGGTATGAATTGGTAACAGATGTAGACAGACATGATAGAGATTTCTCCAAGAATTGATTGTGACCTCACTGGCATTCTTGAAGAGCTAGAGAGGTTATAAATCCCTGAATAGAGAAGAATTGGTTCAGTATTACAGGAGGAGTAGATACTGCAGAAATATTACCGCATAACTTAGACACTGAAGTTTCAGAGATTTGGAATTAGAGGAAAAAGAGAAGTTCAAAATATAGCATAATGGCCACTTTCAAATATAATGTTTCTGTTTCAACACATTGTGAATAGTATCCAGTCTTGGCAAGCTAAGTATGTTCTAAGTATGTTATGTTAACTGGAATGGCCCTAATGAGAAATTAGCACTTGCCAGCCCTGCTCAGGAAACAAGCTGAAACTACTGGACTAGGACAAGTCTGCAGAGCACCCCAGCACAGCAGCAGCATAGGGATGTGGCATGCTGAAGTACGAACAAGCAGCAAGCTTCTTCTCTTCCTTCTTCTTCTTCTAAATGAGAGCCTAACTACAGAATCGAGCTGTAGATGTCATAGGGAAGTTGGTCTTTAACAAACCAGGAAGGGTCCACTGCAGGTGAACTCTGAAGAGGAAGAAGGAAGGCGTGTGTGCATACTTGGCAAACCATAATTTGTTAACTGGGAGTCTTATATATGAGCCAGGTCATAGAAGAGTTGGATTGCTTCAGAAGCACTAACAGATACTGTATATACTGGCATAGAAGAAACCAAAATAGCAAAGCAAAAATTGGGGGTTGTCTTGTACCTCAACATTTGACAAACACCAGAAAACAGCTGAAAATATTGACCTCATCGTATATGCAAGTATCCTTATATACAGAATAGTCACTTGGACATGGAGGATAGTTGAGGAGGAAAGCATGGTATTTTAACATTTCCACCATTTAGCTTCTATGACATGCTCTAGGAACAAACATACAGTTAAGTGATCTGTGTGCAAACATTGCACAAGAAAAATGTAATTGTATATAGTATACGCCCGTGAAGTTGCGGTTCAGCATTTGCGGCTTCAGTCTTTCGCGGGATTTTTCTCTGAGCAAGTCCAAGCCAATCTTGTGAGTAAGCCGGTGCCTCGCCGTGTGACGACTTACTCACAAGGAGATTGTTTCCTCCGAGTTTGGACTCGCTCGGAGAAAATGATCTCTGCGTGCATGCGCCCCTGCCTGGCCATGTGCACCCGCCCACCCCCCTGCCTGGCCCAGCCTGCACCTCCCACCTGCACCGCCTTGGCAGCTGGCGCCTATCACCAAATTTGCAGTTTTTCACAATTTACGGGTGCTTTAGGAACGCAACCCCCACGAATTTCGGGGGACTACTGTACTAGCTGTCCAATTAATTAAATTCTAGGCAATTCAAAATTGTAGTAATCTTAAGTAAATAACATTTAAAAAGACAAAAAGAACTGCAAATCTTACCCATAAATCCTCCTTTAGCAATGCTTACATATTCTTTATTTTTCTGCAACAATAAGATTAGACATACCAAAATTTTTGCTTTTTCCAAGGGAAGCAGAAATGAGAAATAGCTTCAGCACACTTTGACCTGCCTCAGTTTGGCCTCCATTAGAACATATCTATAAGATTCCTACTGCTGCAGTAAAAGGACCTAGATATACAGGAGTTCACATGTGAATATTCTACCATATAAAATGAAAATGGTCTGAATTTAGACTTGCTGTGGGTCTTTGATCCAGTGGAGGCTTCCACTGGCAGGAGGAGGAGAGACTATTTTTGCAGGTTCCTGTTTTCCCCTGCACCACTTCATATGTGATCCCAAATCCCCAAAGGTTCTCAACATTCTGGGGGTAGTGTTTAGAGGATGAGTGCACAGAAAATAATCTCTCTGCCTTCAGCCCATGGGAGCATCCTATGAGCAGAGTTCTGGTAGTGAGATCTCTGTGTCCAAGACAATGGGATTAGTTTTGAATAAAATACAGCATAAAGACCAGTGTCTTATTGTAGATTTGCATTAGCAGAAAGCTCTTCCACTCATGCAAGACAGGTGCCTAATCTTCATTCATCTTCAACTTCCACTCCATATTCTATATGGTCTTGGAGGGTTCTTCAACTCTCAAGGGAAGTTTGGGGGAAAGCATGAGGGAATGAATTGGGAAAGGGTTCCCTGCTTCCCTGCTTGAACAAGTAGACATATTTTCTGGAAGTTTCCTTCCCTACTTCCAAGTAAATTACTGTAATAGGGAAGCCCTTTTATGGAATCGATGCAACACTTGGCAGTCATCACACTACTTAAAATCAAGTAATGTTAAATACTTGTAAAAATGCTCTAAATACTTTTAAAATTCTTTATGCATTGATGTGAATAGGAGTTTAAGATTTGGCATTAACAGATAAAACCCTTATATGAAAAACTGAACAATGTAGAAAGTCAGCCCCTGCAAATGGGTAGTGATAGCTGGCCATCCAGATCAGATAGGAAATGAATATGAGCATATTTCACCTTTGTCCACAAAAGAATTATATGGAATATAATCTCATTTTAATTTAAAATTTGAAATATTATATTCTAAATGAAACTAAAGAAGCTTTGTTAGGAATTATATGAAAAGATGAACATAAAAGAAAATGCCAATATCCTAGCTTAATCAATTAAAGGACCAAGCTACAGTTTCCTTTTAAAAGGCTAGTATCACTGTATGTAATAAACTTAAAATGCAAGAGTTCAGGGAGAAATGTCTCATGCTTAACTCTTATCTGGAAAGCAATCTCTCCAGCTCCAAAGCATTCCAAGTATGAATGACACAAATATCAGTGATTTTTAATTCTAGAGGTAAATGTATATATATGCAGTTTCAGAAGGTGTCCCAAATAAGAAAAAATTCTTGACACAATTCTTGTAGATTCGCCAATAAACAATGCAACAACTGGTTGATCAGTATGTTTCACAACTAAGTTAACCATACAGAGGAACTGATGTGCAATAAATCCAGGCTATCTGCCAAAACCCTGGAAATAATTTTAAAAGATTTTTGCACATCCCTTACTTCCTGATACTTATAAGAATATTTGCTAATTTGCACTGGTGGTAGGCAAAAGAAGAAAAGTAATTTCAGGTATTTTAGATATACCTGTAAGAAGTGTGCCAGCACCATGTTCATATACATATCCTCCTCTTCTCGGCCACTTCCCATGAAACAAAGATGTTCTCCACCAGCTATTGAACCAGATTCAATAGACTGTTTCTGTGCTTCTAACAAGGATTTTACAGACTGGGCAAATTCTGATGGGTTCTGGAGCATCTGTGGAACAAGACAAGGAGCAGATTATTTCTGCACATCTATTCAGCTGACTGAGAAAAAAAAATAAGAAATCATTTGAAAACATAGTAATATATTTAAATATTAAGATATAAACTAACCTATGCTTAGTAAACAGATTTAAGAAGAGTTCCTTAATATATCATGGTTTTCTGTACAGGGACTACTTTATGTTTAAAAAAATGCAACTATGGAGATAGCCCTGAAATAGTAGATCAAAATAGTGTTACCAAATGTTTACAGTTCATTAGAGTGTAACACATCCAAGTGGATCAACAGAATTTCACTTCTAAAACATGGTGGTATAACCAAAAACAATAGAACAGAAATTAATACTCTTAGAACTAAATTCTGAAAATTCTTACACACCACCCTTTTTCAATTAAATAAGAAAAAGCAAGCATATAAACAGCTAGAAACTCAGCTTACCAAGTCTGAATCTAAATGAAATGCAGTTGATAAATGTCCAGCATTATATTGTTCTGCAGGGCGACAATCCACCACAAAGAACCTTACTCCTTCCTGAAATAAGAATGTTTAACTTAGACCAGTTTCAAATTTATTAATAGGCACTTGACTGTTGTGTCCATGTTCTTTGATGCTGAGAAAGAATCTAGTATTCAGAAAAAATAAAACTGTCATGGACTTGTACATACCCCAAAGGATTTCTTATACACCTCTTTAAACAGAAAGCCCCTCTGACAGATCAGAAGCTACCTTTGAGCTTCCTCTCAATTTCAAAACTCAGTTTGTCATTTGACAGGGCATGTGTGTGTATGAGCACGTGCTCTTTTCAACAAATGCAAACCCAAAGCCCCAGGCTTGTCTGACTTCTTGAGACCCTGGCAGGGCTTTTCTTTAGTTATGACAAAGCTACAGTCAATGAAACTTCATATTTAGAAAGGCTATGGCTTTATAATGTACATACAAAGAAGAAACATATTGCAACTTACAGACAACTCAACCTCACTCCCTTTTATTCATTTATAAATCATCAATTAATATGAAAATAAATGATTACAAAAATATTAAAAATAATATATAGTAGCTCAAAATCCCACCAAATAGGTATACAATTCTGAAGACATTTCCAATTGTTCCTTTGTTGTTATGACCCCGCAAGCACTGTTCCTGTAAAGAGTATTTTAAAAACTGCCTTTTGTTTCTCAAACAAGGGACATTAAAAGAGAGAGGATGAGAGAGGTATGCTGCAACTCTACCTATGCTTACTCAGATGTAAATCCTACTGAATTAATAGTAATTGCTGCCAAGTAAGTACAGGATTGTTGTTTGAGATTGACCTATATAATGTCACATTTCTTTTTCTTTTTCATAATCAGTGCATTCTAAAACAATATTCCTTATTCCTTTAGTGGTAACAAAGGTTTTCCTTTGTCCGCATGCCTTCAACAGTTACTTTACCAGCTTTAACTGCACAAAGCACTGAAGTGCTCTAACAGGGTGTCAGATTAGGACCAGGGAGACCCTGCATCTGATCTCCATTCAGCCATGGAGCTCACTGCATGACTGTGGGCCAGTCATCATCTCTCAGCCCCAGTCTATCTCACATGGCTAAGGATAAAATGGGTTGGTAGTAGAAGAAAAACATGTATGGAGTTTTAAGTTCTTTGGAGGAAAGGTGAGATACTTGGGGTATACTGTTGCTGGACTGAAGGGCAGAAGAGCAGGCTCAGCGGCTGAGATCTGAACATCTTATTGATTGATTGATTGATTTAATCTTAAGCTCAAGAAGCTGGCTCCTACTTATTATTTTTATTTATTTTATTTATTTAAAACTTTTCTATACTGCCCCATTACAGACATCTTGGGACGGTTTACAACTCCATTAATAAAATAGAATAAAGGAGAAATGAGAGTAGGAGTGGCTCAGCATCTGATACTACTTACTTACTTACTTATTTATTTTCCTATTTATATCCTGCCTTTTCCTACAAAGGGCTCAAGGCAGCTTACATCATTCTCCTTCTCCATCTTATCCCCACAACAACAACCCTGTGAGGTAGGTTGGGCTGAGAGTCTGTGACTGGCCCAATGTCACCCAGTTGGTTCCATGGCTGAGTGGGGACTAGAACCCGGATCGCCTGAGTCCCAGTCCCACACTCTTAACCACTGCACCACACTGGCTCTCACTTACCCAGGGGGATTTTGACATTTCCCCTCTAAAGAACAGACAGACAGCAAACCCTGTCATAACACTACTGTGCAAACTGTCCTCAGTTTTAAAAGCAGTTTGCAGTGTGGCATAAATGGCAGCCTTTCAGAAAACTAAATTTAAAGTCTTATTTGGCTAATAAAGGTTGTTCCTCAGTTCTGTGAAACCTAACCAACAACCTGAGAAATGCCAACAGTTTCTGGATTCCTAATATTTAGAAATTCTTACAGATAAGTATGTGACTTCCTGCGTTTATCCCTGTTTGGGTTAAAACAGACCTAAACCTACTGACCCCTTGCTGTTGATTTGCTTGAAGAATCTCTGATACAGAAACTGCTAGACACAAAGCTTGGCTCAAGTCTGAATCATCATCTTTGAGGCCCAACAGGCTGCTGCCAAATAGACTGTGGTTGTCCTGTGATGGTAAGAAAAGAATACTTATGATTGCTATTAAGCCTGAGTATCAAAATGAAAACCAAGACTGCATCTTATTTACAAGCCTCCAATAAAAGCCTGCTTGCACAGCTCACTGGAATTTTAGAAGCAGAAACAAAAATGTTCATAAGTGCAATTTCATCTTTACTATTAAGGCTCACTGGAAACTATTGGCTCACACCAAATTTCAGTCATATTCAAGATCTCTTATATGCCTGTTTCCTAGTCAGTGTGTCAGAATAACCCCTAAAACTGGGAAGTGTAAAATAGAGAGGAGGAAGATCACATAAGCTGCTTTGGGTTCCATCCAAGATTAAAAAGGTGGGATAAAATGTAATGCTGTGATGATATAATAATTGTTATAATAATACCCATAGCCAGCTGGTTATATGAATGGTTTGTTGCTACATTTTTGAATAAACTCATTCCCAGGTCTGCACAAAAAGGCAAATATAATCAGCCTGACCTGCAAAAGTCCTGTGCTGTGACGACATGGCCATTACTTCTCCATCTTACCAAGTGCCTGCCAACACAGGTAAGACTGCTAACTAACTCAAGATATATCTCGAAATAAGATACTGCAGCAGCTAACTACCATCAGCAAGTCCCTATTCCTGGCTCTCAGATTTCCTGAGACAGCATTCCAAGATCTGTTACAAATCACTTCTCCAGTTACTCTATTAACATTGTTTAAATTCTATATAAGACTTATACTGGCTCATCTCTTGCTCAAATAGCATCCAACAGCAACCATCCATCTGAGATAGAACTGCAGGATCCATTCTACTGGTTCCCTAATTGGTTCTTTGTCTCCCTCAACTACCTCTTCAAGATAGTCAATATGAAAACTCGGACATTTTAAGATATGGTATCTAAGTGTACTTGTTTTCCTCTTTCCTCCTCATCCATTTTTGCTCTGTCTTACAACTCCCGCCTGAGGGCAGGGACTGACTTGTTTCTTAGTACTGTTTCACATGTAACAGCAGCATTTGGTGGCAAATAATGCTGCTATCTTGAAGGCTGCTGTGTGACATCCAAGCCTTAAAACTATGGGTGGGCTAAGGAACCCACAGTTAACCTACAATTTGGTGCTTTTATTTCCATTATCTGCTTCTGTAGATAATCATCCCAATTTTCAAATTTCTATAAAGTGAATTTTGGAAAAGAACAGAAGAAAGTAGTTTTCTTCTTTATATGTGTTAATTAAGGCCAGATAATTTTAGTAATCAATGCAATAAGCTCCTAAATATACTTTAGGAGCACTTATTTTTTAAATTTTTTATCCAGTGTTCTTTACACAGGTCCTCAAACTGACTTGTAACATATTACAATAGAGCTAAAATAATGGAAGGAGTGAAATACAAAATAAAATGCAAACATATTGTATCTAGCTTGACATTTATTTTCCCAAGACTCAATAAGGCAATTGGGCTATTTTCAAAAGGAATTCACTAAGTGGGAAACAATTCAGTGTTGTTTTGTTCTTGCTACATGGGAATAAATGAAGCATACTTGAAATTATTGCTATTTTAGACAGTGAACGTTTACATAACATAAAATCAGTGTTTTTCAAAGACGTTTGAACATTGGCGCAGGCCACTCTAAAACTTGTTCCAAACAGCAGTAAATTGCTGCTTTAGTCCAAAGGTGCTGCATAGCCAGTTTCAAACAGAAAGAGTTGAATCTCCCCCGCCCCCCCCGCAAAAAAAAAGGCCAGACTTGAGAAAATACTTGATAAAAATGAAACCAGCACAATTGATGGTTTGGCACTAGAAACCCATACTATATGTGTGGAAAGTATACATGACTGTAATGATTAAGTCTGGCCTTTTTACTGGACTGATTCAATGAATGAACAAAGAATCTGTGTAGTAGTATTATTTAAAGGGGGGGACGACAACAGGAAAAAGGGCAAGCACCTGTATTTGCTCCAGACAGCTTTGCTGGAGGAAACACAACATACCTCTAGCTGTATCAGCTCCAGGAGCCCTTATTTCATTTGGGCCGGACCCTGATATTCAGACCACCCTTTCAGAAATATGACTATTACCTTTCTGAAAGAAGCTGGAGTTTTGCTACAATAATATTGTGCCAAGGCAAAAAGGTCTTCTATATCTTCTATTTCCAAACTGGCAGGGGACTTCTCTAGAAATTCTGAAAAATACAGTGATTAGGGCAAAAATGAAACACTAGAACTAGTCTTTAACTATATAAAAATATTTATTTAAACCATATAGCAAGTACTTATGCTAACATGTTTGTGACTTGCACTCTTTCAATCACTCATATTTTGGTCACATGGATCAAATAGTTTCTATCACTTTACTTGTGTTACAGTCAAACTTCACTACAAACTGTGCACATCAGGGGAGACAGACAGACAGACAGACTTGCAAGTCAGTTGACTGAGCAACCATGGCAGTGCTCCCTACCTAGCTGGTACTGGTGGAAACATGAGAGACTGTGGCCTGATCATCATAATGACTAGGCCAATACCTTCTTGTTTTGTAGTAGCTTCTCCAGATTCACATGGCTGCAGTCAAACAGCCACACCTATTCTTTCCTCCCATTTGATAAGGGTGCCAATTACCTAGTGGACTGAGAGGAGGAAGTGGAGTAAGAGAAAGATGGGTGACAGAACAAAGTCTGCATTAGGACAGGGAAGGGGACTGCCTACTGACTGGGTAGTTGCATGATGAATGTGTGAAGGTCAAGGAGGTGTGTGTGTTTTGAATTATAAGCCAATATATTAGAAGTTAAGCCTCTAGTATGCTCTACAGTGGTGGTTTTCAACAACTGGGGACTGGCAAAAATAGGAAAATCACCTCAGGGTCCGCTGAAACAGAAACAAAAGGCTCCATACATACAATACAGTATTCTGTGTATTAGTTTTCGAGCACAATGTCAAAAATAGAAAAAAAGCAAAAAAAAAAAAAAAGAAAGAAAGAAAAAGAAAAGAAAAGAAAAGAGAAAATTCTCTAGAACAACCAGAAACTTTACAACAAACAAAAAACTGAAATCAGTGTTGGTGTGGCTCCCAGCCGGATCCCACTCAGCCACACCACACTGATTTCAGTAGCTCCTCCCCAGGTCCCCTGGCAGCACCAGCACATGCCCTGCAAACACGATGCCAACCAAGGAAGACGTGGTGGAGCACAGCCAGTTCCTGTGCCTTTCTGCAGTGAGTGAGATGTGCCCCCCGTCCCCGCGCAGCCTGTCAGGAAATCTCCTTTGGATAGGTGCCGGTCCATGGACCAGTGGTTGAAAACCATGCTCTACAGTACATTTGTGTATTCCATGATAGCTTATCAAACTCTGTTTACGGCACCATCACTTCAAGTGCAGCAAAAGAGGTTGAATTGCAGGTAAAAGACAACTATAAAAAGTGAAAGGGCAGAACTTGAAGATAAACCACAAAATAAGCAAGTAGAGCAACTCCAGGAAGAACACCACATAAGATGGGATTTGTAAAGGCTCTTTCAGATGGAACCTTAAACCACCATTTACATGCAAGAGACACAAACTCACATGCTCCACTTTCCCTCCCTCTCTTCTGCTGCAGCTGGAAAGAGATCAGAAGCATCTGCTTCTAGAATAACCAGAGTTCCTGTCAATCTGAATGCAGAGAATCTCCGAACAGTTTAAACAAGCTCTAGATCTTGTTTAAACTGAATACTTTAAACAAGCAAGGATCTAACTGTGGCTTCTGATCCTGGCTTGTGCACTGTACTCACCAAAACTCTCTTGACTTGGGACAGAATGAGAAACTCTGGTTAGTTTAAAAGTGGCACTGGGCATTTCTGATTCCCTCTCTTCCTTTTGTGATACATGAGAAGAGGCAGCATGCAAGCCCAAATCTTGTGTGGGCTTTTGCATGAAATGCTGAACAATAAATTAGCTTTTTGTCTGAAGCAGTTTAATAGTTAAGTTAAGCTAAGTTTTTTAAGAGTTCATCAATTTCAACTGGTGCAGTTAAGTGTCTGCTAAATTCTTCCACATATCTATGGAATTTTGCTTTGGAAGACTTTGGCTATATAGTACCCAATTATTCTTTTTTAAAAGCAACAGCAACAGTATTACAAGAACTTACGGACAACATCTTCTTTATTTTCTGACTCTGGTGCTAAGATAGATTCTCTGGAAAGGGTCAAAACAGAGAGAAATATGGTAAGCATATCAAGCAGACATGGGAATAAATGGTCAACGAATATGTTGCCATATATTAATTATATACTCACTTTGCATTAACAAGGATAATAAGCATTAGGAAATAAATGAAGAATGGATCTGCAAGCTGTAAGTATCCATCCCATATTGCCTGAGTAACTTCATATGAACAGTAGCTTGAGAAGAGGCATCCAAGCTGGAAAGTTGACGAGATGAAAGGAAAATCAAACATGCTTTTTAGTAACATAGTTATGTTTATTTTTTATTTTCATAACATATTCTTAGAAGCAAGTTCCTAAGATTTCAGTGGAACCTCCACATGAAAGCAAACGAATCTAGTTTAGGCACAACTATCTGGCAGTAATTTCCATTGAACTCAGTGGGTCTCACCTCATAGTATACTGGCACAGAATCATATTTTCATACCTTAACATTAAGAAATGCTTGTATTAAAGACTGTCTTTCCTGAAAATCCAAGTCAGTTTTAAAAATTTGTTGGAGTGTTATATCTTTGATACAAGTATCTGAAAGCCAGCAAAACCAAATGTTTGGAAATTAATTATACACATGATATCTATATTCTGACACAAAGTAACAAAACAGTCAGCCTGCTTTTTATTCAAAGCTGTTATAAAACAAATAATAAACTGTCACACTTACTTAATAAAACATGGGATTCATTTTAGGGGTGCAGAGGTGTCCCATTTGCTAGGCCAGACACTGGAATCTTGTGCAAATAACAACTATTTGCAATAGTTTACCACACTTAATATCTAACAACCTTGTCAAAGATTATGCATACTATTTTTTTCAGCTCTGTTATTCAGCAGCAAATACTGTTAAATTTACTATTTATTATGGTTCCCTACTTTCACTTTATTACCCAGTTGAGTGCATATGAATCTGGTGTCATCTTTTTGGTGTCCAGAAAGGAGCAGAGTTCTGGCTCATGATATTGCAGGAGTAACCTGAAGAGATGAAATGGTCTACCTTTCAGGTAACAGTCTCTAAAAGAAAAACAGTGAGGGAATTTATGAAAAGACACAATAATACTGATTGTAAGTAACTTTAAAAACAACCACAAAGCACTAAAACTTCACACACAGCAATGTTCAAAAGGATTAGGCACATTTTACAGTTTTGTTTCATGCAATAAGGACAATAGCAAATACCATCTATTAATGTACAGATACAACAGAAAATTATTCCATTCCTCAAAGAAAGTTAGAGATGCCTCTGTCCTTGGAAAGGGAACAGAAGGAGGGGGTAATATGAACAACACATTATGCCAATCACAACAAACATGAACAAATTTCTTTTTACCTAGGAATATACTTATTCATGATCGCATAGAAGCAGTTGTACAAGTCACTTCGTGGAAGTCGAAGATCCACCAATGGCTTGAGTAGATATGTCCAACTAAGGCTAGAACTGTATTTAACATTACGAGATTTACAGTAAAAGGTAATAACAGATTCAATATCCAGAAGTAATACTGACTTCTCTTCATCTTGCACTGACAGCTGATCTGAAAACAGACAAATATACAATTGTGTTTAAAATGTGACATAATCTAATTCCCTGGTGGTAGTTATTGTTTTGGGACTAGACTCTGAAACTGGGAATGTAAGGAGAGCAAGTGTGCATGCTTGTGCACCTTCCATAATGCTATGGCAATACAACAGAGCCAAGCAGTTCCAAAGATCCCCTTGTGTACACCAATAGTGCTTATGCATTTGCACACACATCTGTTTCTTCCAGATGTCTCTGTTATACTGTATTCAATAATGTTACAGAGTGTCTCTCAACATTAAAAAGCAGTATTTCAATGGCATAAAGAAGAGCTAAAGAGTTCCAGTGTATTCATGGAAGACTATGCATAACCCTCTAGATCCTGGCCCAGTAATTTCCACTGAGCTCAGAGGGTCTCACATAATAGGAAACTGGCACAGAATCTTATTTCACATATACATGTATAGTTTGCCAGAGAGTTGTTCACCTGGTTACGGTTGCAACTCACCCAAGATGAGCAAGCACCTGGCAAACCACATTGCTGTTGTAAATTTGTTAAACGTGAACTTCATTTTCAGTGCCAAATTGCCTTGCTTTATATTGCATATTCATGTGCAAAAGTTCCTTGGACAGGAGTTTTTAGAGTGAGAGGAGGGTGATCACAGAACTCCTTCATCCATATATTAGGAAAGTGGACTATACTTGAGCTCTACAAAAAGCAAATACCAGTAAGCAAAAATATATTCACCTATTATGTGTCATATTTACTCATAAATATTCTGTTGTTTGGCCAAAAATATTAAAAAGCAGGCAGCACTATATTTGCTCTAAATAATTTAAATACTAAAACAAAAATATAGTAACTAGAAGACAAAAGCAAACAAGAAATGGTTCAGCTAATTTCTGAAAAGACATGGGAAAATAAAGAGGTCTAATCCTTGCCTTGTACCAAATGATGTAAGAATAAGCATCAGGTAAGTCTCCATACGGAGAACATTCCACAAGCAGGGCACCAGAGTACAGAAGGCCCTCTCAGCACTTCCCATGACTCCTAAATTTGTTAAGTCAGGAGCACCAGGAAAAGAGCTTCCATCACAATCTTAATGTACAAGAAGTTATAATAAGGAAAAGATGGTCCTTTGGATCTTTTAGACAACCAAGCTCAAGCTATATGGGGCCTTTAAGGGATGCCTGCAAGATATACTAGCAAACATCTTTTGAGTTCGCCACGTGAAAGTATTGCTTCTGCCAAACTATTTGAACCATGTCTTATTCAGGTGATTAAGTTTCGTGACAGAGGAAGTCCAGAGTTGTACTCAACAAGCCTCTACAGAGAGCACACAGTTTACATAGAGTTTTCACCTTAGCAATCTAAATCTTCCTTCAAACTTACCAACTAATTCTTGACAATCTTTGTGTATCAGTGTCTGTTCTGGCAGATCTAGACAACCATCCCAGGATGCCAAACTGTCTCCTTTCCCAACCACATTCAGTGCAATCTAAAAACAAATACAGGGAAATGAGAAAAAAAAACCCTTCACTATTCTTCATTGTACTTAATATATAATTTTTAAATTTGAAATATTTCAAGAAAAATATGATAAAAAGATATAAATGCAGAAGACTAAGAAAATTAGTTGTTATACTGCTGTCAGCATTCTTGAACAATAAACTTCCCCCAAATTTGTACTTAATAGAAAGCAACAATTCCTGGCAAGACTGCATTTATTCATTTGGTAACATACAATTGAGGTTTAACGTCATTCTAGAAGTCTAAAAGTTCACATTCTACTTTTTCTTACATAGTCCTGCTGAATTCAGTTAACTTATTAAAGAAATTATGAATGATGTTAAGGTCAAATAACATGTTATATGTAGATGAAGTGGATGACTGGCACCAAAAATTGATGAGGAAAAGAGGTGGTTAACCTGATTCCCATGTGGCTCCCTGGTACATAATTAATCCTTTCGGGTGCTTTATTAATGATAAATCCTTCCCTCCCTATCCATGCCAAATAAATTTCAGATACAAGTGTCCTAACAAACAAGTGTCCATTTGGAACTTCATGGAGGGAAAAGCCACTTAGAGAAAGTAATTTTCAATGAAAATGGCAGGCAGTTAAAGGAATAAGCACATTTTCACACAAGTTCTCTACTGCAATAAACATTTTAGATTAACAATATGAAATTAGGTCCTTGAAATATAGGTCCCTGCAATATTTAAAGTTTTTTATTTATTGGTAAATGTATTCTAAAATTCCATATACAAAGGAAAATGTGAGGTATTTATTGAATGCTAAGCAATGCTAAAAACAATGCTAACAACAATGACTATGGTAAAGTTAGCTTTATTGTTATTTTTCAAGAAGTAAAGGCAGGCCCTAATAATGGTTCATGTCTCTTTTGAATGAAATATTTTACACTGATATAAATTATCACCTTCCCCTCAAAATGGGATATTCTTACCTTCCAGACTTTGGCTCTTAGGTCAGCAGGCACAGCTCTCCCTTGAATTATGTTTCGGACTGTTTCAAGATCACAACCACCTTCTTCTAGAGCTTCTGCAAGATCATTTTCCCTTTAAAAATTATCGTACATAGGAGTCAGTGAATTTAAAACACAGCAATATTTTCATCTCTTACTAAATGCACACTTGGAAGTATATTTTACTAAGATCAGCCTTAGTTTAAGCAAAAATGCCTAAACAATTGAGGCTGCAATCCTATACCAACTTACCTGAGGACACAACCAATTAAACTCAGTAGGTTTACATATGTTCATAGGACTGAGCTGACATTCAAATGTTACGTTCCAGAAAACATTTTAATTTTTTTGCTGAGCTGGAACAACATCTACTGGATTATGCATAAAAGCACATAGAAGGAACAAAATTACAATAAAAACAAAATGAAATGGTTTAAAGTAATAGAATATTAGTCTGGAGGTCAGAAGTGAAAAAGATGACCCTTTAAAAATTCACTTAAAATAGAGAATCACATGTATTTCAATATTATAAGAATTGCTTGCTGCCAGTTTATTATTTTACAAAATCTAGGCATAGGACACCTGTTCAGGAAGCCACAATCTGTCAGATCAATATCAATCACACTTTAATATATCTATTGTAGTAGACATAGTGACATGGTAAGTACAATGTAGCTTATATGTTGTTAAAAGTGAAAATCTTTAATAGATCCCTAAAGCAGGGGTGTGGAACCTCCAGTCCATAGGGCTTCCTTGTGCACCCCCAAGCCCCACTCACTAAAGAAATCTTTGCTTTTCCTCCAGTCTGAATTTGGAGATAACAGTGGAGATGCAGAAAGCAGGGGACTTAGCTAATGCTGGAGGAAGCACCTGCTCTTTGCAGCACCATCTGAGTGGCTTCAGATAACATACACTGCACAGAGCTTTAAACTTGGTTGGTGCTGGAAGAAGTAGTCACTGGTCCTTCCAGCACCAGTTGAGCCCCTTTCTCAATGCTGAAAGGCTGGATCATGCTTCCCTCAGTATGGAGAAAGGCAGAATGGTTGATGCAATGATGCCAGTAACTATGGCCACACACTGACAGCATCTGGCATGTGCAGAGCTCAGGGGCAGGAGGCGGAGATATTTAGCTCCTCATCCAATTATAGTTCTGCACACCTGCTTTACAATCACTAGCAAAGATCTTCAAAACTGTTATATTACATGCATACACCAGTGTCATATATTAATAAACTTGCAAAAAACATGACTGTCCAATAACAGACTATGGGTACAATCTTATGTATGAATTTTTGAGTAGCCATATATAGGAAAGTGAAGCATGTACAGTGCAATTAATTCATCAGTTACTCTCAACTTGGATATTAATTCTACAGCAAGTGTAATTTATCCTTCCAAATCCCTAATACTTGACATCACAAATGGGCTCTTCAACTTCCCTAGTTGACATCTGAATGTGTGCTTATTGGTCCACAGGTAAAGCCTGTAAATCTCCACTTTGAACATGGGGATGTTCAAAATCCTAGCCAATTAAAACACTGATGTTCTCAAATCATTTTTGGATCCCTTTCCCTTCAGAAATGTGCTTTTAAGATTATTCACTACAAATTATATATTGAATAATGTTCTCAACCTGCTTTTGAGACATTGTTGGTATACAGATCAATTCCTAGGTATGTCAAAATGCTGATAAAATTAAATATTTGTACACTATTAAAGAGAAAAAAGCTACATTTGCAAATATATTAATTATTTTCTATGTTCTATTTTCTATGTTCAAACAATAGAGAGCTAGCAACAGGGAAAGGTACTAATTACGTATTGAGCTAAATGCCCCTCTGATTCCCAACATAATGTATCCAAACCAGAATAAAAAATTATTCTTAGGAGCCAGAAAAAGCTTTAATAAGACTGATGCTGTTTTAGAATGATCTTTCCTTCTTCAGTGGCCACTTCTCTTTTTCCATGGCTATCTTGCAAAATCACACTTGTACTTCCTCTGATTTGATGGAGTTTGAAACATGAAATATTAGCAAGATTTTGCAGGATACATGTGAAAAAAGACAAGTGGCCCCTGAGAAAGGAAGTATTTTTCCAAAATGCTTCTTCTGGTACTTGAGGACAGTTTTTATCTTTTGATCTTAAGCAACAATAGCCAGTGATAGTTCTAATTAAAATAAGAATATTGCTGTGCACAAATCTCTGGACAATAAAACTATTGTTTTTGTGTTAAATTTAAATTTAAATAATTAGGGGTACAAACAGCAAGATATTAAGACCATCAGATGCAATTAAAACTTAGAATGTGATAATGCACAATATTATTGTGTTTTACTTGCTGCACAGAAAACTCTATGGTTTCCCTTCCATTCACAACCAGCTACACACACAGACTTTTTCCTTTACCTTCATTGATATACATTGTTGGTACAAAGAGACCGATCATATACACAAAATGTACACAGTTGTAAAAGGCAGATTTTGCAGTGCAGTATGGAACCACAATAGTTAATTCCAAAAGATCTTTCCCCCACAAGCTGCCATAAATGGATGGAGGAATTAGGTTTAAAGTTTGGCTGTATAGTGGGCACTAATTTGGTTTGTGAGTTTTTGGAGAAAGCAATGTCTCCAAGTTTCAACATCCAGCAACATAAGGATGGTTCCTGCTCAAGCTTCCATTTAGCTGCTGGTGCAATACTCATATGCTCAGGTACCAACATAAAAGCTACCAGTTCCCTGTACCTGAGTCCTGTGTTCCTTCTGTCATAAAGTGTAACCAGAACAAGTGCTGGGGAATTCTTTATTTTCTGCTTTGTGATTTTCCCTGCAATTCTTCCATATATTTTCAGACCTATCTTTACCATTCTGAAGAGGAAACACACTCTGCTGGTATTCTGACCAGTTTAAAAAGAGCTCATATACTGTACAAAACTGTCTTGGGACCCATATGCTCATAGCTTTATTGTAAGTGGAGGTTCTGGTATTGATTTTAGTCTTTGCCTAATGCTTTGTATCATTCTTATTTGAACTTCAAATAAGTCCTATATTCTGAACATCAAGCTGCATCTAGTACTTATAATTTTGTATTTAAAATGGGACTACAGAATATTTTTTCTGCTAAGGGGTACAGACTTCCCCTAGAGGTAATCTGCGTGGGAGTGCATATTGGTGGTGAATGTGGCTGAAGTCAGCAGTGAGTGAGGCTACTTTTTTCCTCTTTTTCTGTTACACACTTCTCTATCACACTCTACTTCCCCAAACAGCAGTCAGCAGGGAAAGCGATATATTGTTCTTTGACAGAGGTCTCAACTGATCTTTTGCATAGTGCATTTGAAGTTAGGTGGAAAGCTACAGACTGCCTATCCATGACTAAAAGTTTGAAGGTGGTGAAGAGACCAAGAGTGTGATCCAATACATGTGCAGACAGAAAAAAGCCCTATAACATCTAGCATGCCCTGATAGCAAAGTATTCTGCCTTAAGTAACAAATCAGAAAATCCCCAGTTTAAAGCTCACCTCTGCCATGAACTCACCAAGTAGCTTTAGGCAAGTCATTCTCAGTCCCAATGGTTCCCTGCCATACCTACCCCCTTGCAATCAGCAAAATGTGGCACATTGCAATACTGACTTACAACACCCATGAAGGTAAGGATTAAAGCGATGCATGTGAAGCCCTTGGAACATCTGAATGTTTTACACAAATGCTACTTATTATATTCTCTTTGTTGTTGTCTTCTTGTTCTTCTGTGGTTTAACGTTGTCATCAGTTCATAATTCTGAGACCTCTTACTTCTATTTCCAGTAATTTATTAGGACTCCAAAGAAAATGGTTACATACTGTATGGTGAACAGACAGAATGTTCTCAATAAATGTATCATCCGAATACTTGTGGTACCTATTTCAGTAATAGTTTGAGATCTATTTTCTCCTGCTTTTTGCAACCAATTTCCTTCAGTGTTTAAAATATGATTTCCTTTCATGAATTAAAAATATTTGCTGAATACCTAAAGCCACCTGTTGCTTTATCTATGGAGAATAATGACACATACATGATATTTAACATTGGCACTTGAGATAAAACTGTCAGGCTACTATGCATATAGAATATTCTGCCTGGCAGGCTACATTAAGGGAAAATGTAGAAATGACATGGTTTTTAAAGAGCTGAATACTTTTTTAAACAGTCTTTTGGCACCTTAAAGATTAATTCATGTACAATGGCATACATTTTTGTGGTATATAGAAAGTCTATGCTTTATTTATTTATTTAAAACTTTTATATGCTGTTCCCCATACAAGGCATCTTGGGACGGCTCACAGTCAAAACATTAAAACAATCAAATTACATACATTAAAACAATCCAGCAATAAAAGCAATAAAACATGACTGGTCATCATTAGTCTTTAAGATGCCACAAACACCTTGGTTGTTTTTTCTACAATACATTTGTATGACTATCCTACAGGACAAGGATTCCCAATGAAAAGACTAGGGTCATCTCTAATGGCACTTACAGGGGGAACCCCAATGTGGTACAGATATTTAATCTTTCTAATTTTAAAAATATACTTACATGGATTTGTATAAAAATGCATAAAGGTTCCTAGCAATTACATTCTGCTTCAGCACAAGTGGACCAAATATACAAATAATTATCCATTTGAACATGGCATCTCTACGTTACGTGTTCAAATAGTTAAGATATTATAAGGCCCTTAATTCATTGCATTATAGGAATGAGTGTTATCCTTTCAGTATTGTAATATCAGTCTTTTTGCTCTCAAAAGGAAGTGGAGAATCCATTTCCTCTTCTAGCTATTAATTTCCATGAAACAGGTTAATCGTTTTAGATTGTAGACATCAGTGAATATTAAAGACAGTTCCAGTACAAAATGTATCTGTGTAATATCTCTTCCCTAAAAGAAATCACCACTGAACATTGCCAAAACATATATTTAAAAGAAGCATAGCAACATCAGCAATTAGATGAATTAGACAATCCCTTATTAAAGAAATATTGTAGAGTTTTTGCTAAATGCCAGAATGACAATCCACTGATTAGGCATTTTTTCTTGTGCTCACAGCAGTTTCTCAAATTCCCAAATGTGCCTACTGGTATAAAGAGGTTGGGAACCCTGCTCTAGAAATTCTTTATGTGAAATGCTGTTAGACAAATCTTACACATTGGGTTGGAAATATTTCAGGCATTTAGCCCTTAGACATTTTAATCCCTCCAAGTCAGCCTTATGCAAAGTTGGTTTCTAAAAATCCTATCTTAGTACCAGAAAACTAAACAATGATCTCTGAACCTGAAAGATTCAAGTTCTATGTAACAGGTCTGTTCTTAAACTAAACAGAACCTTAACCAGACCCTCTAAACAAGCCTTCCACAACTTGGTACGCTCCAGATGCATTGTTAGGAATTTAATACGTCTGGGCCACAGTAGGTGGGGAAGGCTGATTAAAACCATGAAAATCAGTTGGACTTTTAAAAGCATTTTTGCGGCTGAAGTTATTAATATCTGATACTCCGATTTTACGGTTATCCAGCCTTTGCCTAAAGCCTGCAATAACTGATCACCATCCAAAAATATAGTGGACACTGAAATTCCACTCTCAGTGGCAATTCTTTGAAAGTATAGAAAGAGACCTTGGCTTCCAACTTGTCACTAGTTTATCAAAATTCTGGATCCTAGCAGAAATCCAGATATATTCATCCTTGTATAAGGAACCTAAATACTTGAAAGTGGTGACGTCAAAGAACAAAAAGCCTCAAGATCATATATTTTGCAGTATTTTTCCTATTGGCAGGTTTGTGCTTCATATTTAGTGGTACCGTCATAAGCAAAAAAATAGGAAATAATAATTGGAGTTGTTTTTCAAAAAGAGGTTTAGTAATTGTACTTACTCCAGGTATAAAAGCTATTTACAGATATTTGAGTCTATAAATCTGAGAAAAAAATGGCACTAATCATCAAATGAGTAATATGCTGACTAGGTTAAAATAGTGGGAATGTATGAGAAAGAACCAGAAAGACTATAAAGATTGGAGTTTGACCTCCTTGGAATTTTCATTTTACAAATCATGCTTCTAACGTCAGAGTGCCCTTTGACACCTTCTAACAGCCTTTGCTTAGATTATGATACACTTCAAACTTAGCATACTTCGGGATGTCAGTCAAACAACTAGTATAAACTTTGCACAGGAAATTTGCAACTTGATTCAGGAGAATACAGCTTCATGCTTTTACCACATGAAATGAGGACTAAGTAGGCTTTACATTATTTTCCCTACTTAGACTTATTTATTTTTTATTATTAATTTCATTTCTACGCTGCCGAATAGCTGAAGCTCTCTGGATGCTTGATAACAATTCAACAAGTATTCCAAAATCCAAAGCTTTTGCAAATTGCATATTAAACCATGTCAAACCATATTATAAACAAGTGACAAAATTGTCAGAATAAGTGATAATATTAATTAATATTATTTCATTAGTATATATTAACTGGAAATATATTAATAATTAACAGAATAATCCTGTGCTCCCTGCTTAAGTGACCCAGAGACCATAGGAAGGCTTGGGAAACCCTTCTAATATTGGAGATAGCACTCTGAGTTCAGAAGTGCAAGTGAAATCCTAGCTGAGAGAGACCCCTCCATACAGCAGCTGGTACAGAAAGAACAGAGCTGGCTGCTTTTCTGAGGCCAGGAGAGTGATGGCAGAGGAGGAGGAGGGTATTCCAGCAGGCAGAGGGGGAAGAGACCAGAGAGGCCAGCTTGCAGGTTATTCTGGGAGTGTTCCAACATCCTTTTATACCCCTCCAAAGCACCCTCCCTAGATGGGTAGAAAAGGCCATTTACTGAAAATATAGGAGACTGGAGGATGGAGAAGTGAAGATAATCTCCACTGCTCCTCCTACTTTTCTGGTTTCATCTTGGTTAGGGCACAGGAATTTCAGAGGCTACTGAATTCAGGAACTCTTAAAGTGGTGAAGACACAGTCTGTGGGATTATGCCTGAAGTGCATGATTTGAATTATCATGCAGTAAGTTTGATCCCTGTATCATCAGCATCAGGAAGCTAGATTTGAGAGCTGCTGCTAGTCAGACACACTAATATTCCTTAAATTGATTTCAACACACTTTGGAAGTTAAAAGCAATGCCATTATAAAGAATGCTGTGCTCTCCAGTTTTTGTTTGCTTGTGACAGGAAGCAAAGTAGAAAGTCTGCCTTTCAAGTCTACAAATCATGTTCCTGGATAGTAACTACTGAAATAATCACACATCAGTGGTACTAGAGTAGGGTAATCATGAATCTAGTCCAGTCCAATGGAATATGCTGATTCCAATGAATGGTGGACGTCATACTTGACATAGGGATGGTTTCCCCAAATGTAATGAAATACGACAGATTATTTATAAATCCATGGTTATACTTGTACTACAACAGTTTTCTAAAAGCAAATAACTTAAATAAGATGATTCAAAATTAAAATAATAAGGTATGAATACCTAGACATTTTGCTACAGCTGAGTGGGAAATGAGGGGTACATGATTGCCACTTCAGATTTAAAAGCAACCGACAGCATAAGCACTCACATATATGTTGGCCTAATCCTAAACTCATAAGAACAGTTTTGCTGAATCAGAGCAAGATTTAGCTAACCTGGTATAATATTCTGTTTCTAGCAAGAACCAGTGAGATGCATCTAGTAAATTCACAAGCAAAGCATAAAGATAGTGGGCATTCTTGAAACAGGGATGGGCAGAAAGTAACTCAGTCTCTGGGATATTCGTAGTAGAATGACAAGGATTTCTGATAGTTTTAAAGAGTATCAGCAACAAAATGATTCATCTGTCACCATAAAGTATACTACAGAATTCAGGAAAGGTTATGATAACCAAGAGTGGATTTGAATTTCACTCTTCCAAAACCCAAACTACTTGTGGGGTCAGCATTCAGACTACCCTTTCGCTCACGCATGCATAGTACTGATCTAGTAACTAGCAGTACACCATATCTTGATACAAAGTTCCCATTGGTCATTATTGTTCCCATTTGATGTAATGTTTCGTGTTAGATTAGAACTGCGGGATCCAGGTTTAATCTTTTATGCAGCCATGAAGTTCCAGCTCCTTTACTGGGACATCAAAGATCAACTGGGGAGGAGATATATGCATTGAGTTTCTTGGAAGGGTAAGGTATTAATGCAATATTTAAATATCATACCTAACTGTATGAAATCAAGATTCTAGAGTTGGAAAAAACGGCCCTGGCCTTCAAGGATTTTCTTTTCCGGACTTAAAAGGACAATTTGAAACGTGGTCGTCTTTTTTTTGCTCTTTGTCAGCCAGCAGAAAGAAACACACCAAGATGCAGGGTGGCCCTGAGTATAACAACCCTGCGCATTTCCCCAGGAATCGTTCATTAAGGAGAGTGAGAGATACATATAAATACGAGAATAACATGCCTACATTAGATTATCTGGAATCAGTACAAGCCGTACCAGCCTCCGCGACTGGACAGTAAATTTCGGTCTGGGGGCCACCCGGGCTCGGAATGGGGCGAGGGATGGTCGCCGCGACAGCCGCCCAGAAGTTTCTGCGATGGGCGGTGGCTGTGATGGAGATACAAGTTCTCAGTCGCCCTCAGGAAGCCTACTAACCGATCAATTGTCCAACTCACCAGCTGTTCAGCGGAGACGCTTCCTCCCCTTCCGCCATAGCTGTTGACGTGCACCACAACCTTGCCGTAAAGCGTGATCTACACTTCCACTGTTCTCCGTCGCAATCTCACTTCCTACAGGGTTGCCGTATAGCGCAGCAGTGATTTTCATACATAGACCTATTGTAATAAGACTCGTGCACACTCGTTAGCCTCCGGGTTTAGTTTGAAAACTTTCCATCTCCCATAGACTGTACTGTCGATATCTAGGTTTGTAGTATAGCTGTAATTGGGCAGCAGCCTCCTCAAATGCAAAAAGTAGAAGATACCCTTTCTAACAATTATTTCGTAACAAAAATGTGTGGGTAGGATAAGTTATCTTTTTCTCCTTTATATAAACATTTCATGAGCTGTCATTAAAGAAGCTATTTCTTCTTCCATAACACTGAGCGAGGCAGCTGATTTTGGGTGTCATGAAACGGCTATATTTTGCAGTTATTTAAGATATAATTCTATACATATTTAGGCAGAAAAATGCCCACAACTGCAAGCATGTCTCGGCCAACTGGGGCATTCTAGAAATTGTGGGACTTTTTTCTCTACTGAAACACGCAGTAAAGAAAAAATCGTTATTATTATACTTTGAAGGGAAAGAACTGCTTGTGGGACATTCCATTTCAGGTGCCAAAACAACTTGGTCTTGAAAAGTATGCATCTTGAGGAATGGGGAACACAATTTACAGCTTCATATAAGGTAGCAAAATGCTTCAGGCTGCAAGGAAAATGTAATGTTTGTAACTTAATACTACAATAAGGGCGCAATCTCGCAACACCTGGGAGTAACATTTGAACTCAGCGAAACTTGCTTCTGAGTATACATGTATAAAATTGGACTGCAAACCCGGTAGCTAATAAGATGTTGGTTGACTCTATTACACTCCAGCATAGAGCACATCCAGTTTCAAAATGTACAAACACAAAAGCTATTCTTTTCTAAAGCTTGTTCCAAGGTTAGTTCAACTTAAAGCTAACTGCCTTAAGAGCACGTCTGATACCACACTCTGTTTTACATCTCTGCCCGAGAGCACTGCATAGGCAAATGCAATACCACTAAGTGCAGAGTGCCAAGGAGTATACTCCCGTCCCAATTCAAGCGTGGAAGTGAACTTTGACACTTGCACTTCAAAGGCCGGCAGTCGTACGCGCCCCTTCTCGCTTACTCTAGGCCGGTTCAACGCGCGACGCTCCCGAAGCCAGTGAAGGAGGCCCAACCCACACAACGCCTCCGTGGGCGGGCTTCCCTAGCTCGAAGTGGTGGCGGCGGCGGCCCGCAGTGCTGGCCTTGTGCTGCTCCCCTCCGGTATAGGCGGCTTGGCCTGTGTTGAATTTGCAGTATGGGAGACACGTTGGATGAATCTTGGTGGGAAACACGTGAAGGGAGCAACAACAGTCCAGGTACCGGGGACTGGGAGAAGGCGAGGAGAATTTTGCTGCGGATGAGCTTTTCTTTAAAAAGTTGAATTCCCCCCTGCGCCGCCGTCCCTTTAGTGTTGACTATTTTTTCCCGATTTTCTCAGTTTACTCCTTCTCCCACTGCCCCCTTCTTTATCCCGTTATTTGAGCCAGGCAGACTCTGGCCTCCAATATTACTTCATTCAGATTTATAAAGATCTCGTCACACATGTTTGCTAGAATTCTTGTCCTCGTGATGTGAGAAGTTTTAGATGACACCGAACCGAGTCACGACTCAGCACTATGCGTGCTTACATAGCCGTAAGCTCTATTGAGTTCAGTGGGACATCTGGTTACATTCGAGGTTTATTAGTAGTATTTTAAGCTAGGAGAGGAAGGGGGCTTGACCATACAAGAAAAAGTGTAATACTCTAGTTTGAAACAGAAATGTGAAACAAATAGGTGGCATTTATGCAACTGTGAAATACACAAATGCATACTAATGTGAAATAACCTATGCAGGGCACCTAAGGAAGATGCTGTGTCAGGGCTACTGAAAGTGCCCAGAGGGTATGACTTCTCGGAAACTTTGGCTGCTGTACCTTTCCTTAGAGAAATATTGGTTTATATTCTGCATCTGTCAAAGAAGTAGCATGTAGCTCGCATACAGTAATTTTTGTGTTTTTATTCCACCTATTGAGGAGCTCACGGGGGTCCTACATTGCTTTCTGCCTCTCTTTTTCCCATTTACCTGACAACATTGTGATGTAGGTTAAGCTGTTTGACTCTAGATTCCTCTTGTTACCATTGCACAGATAATCCTGCTGAAAATGGGCATATCTCAGGTCTGAAAGACATTCCATGGTGCAGAATTTAAATGGTAGTTCTTACTTTAGATGTGGATAACAAGTATTTTGTTAAATAAAAAACAAAAAACTGGGAATTCCACAGAACAAATCATTGGAACAAAAATTGATCATAATTCTTTGAGTAATAGTTACAAATCTCTTGAAAATGGATTGGCAAGTAGGTTGCTATGTGAGCCTATAAGTATTTTATACCTGCCACATCATGTTAAATGTGTTCACCACAAGCGTTGGCTTGGGCTACCAAACCTCAGCATGGTAACATAGGTGAATGGTTTAAGGCATGCACTAAGGACATGTAAATATGATGGAACTAGATGTAACATTTTCATATATGTAACATTTTGTGTGGCTGTGTTCACACATAATGCTAAACTATGCTGTCTGGTTACCGCTGAGCAAGCCTGGGACATGAACTTCCCAAGCACTGTTTGACTGGTCCTGTAGTAACTGTATTTTCATGAATGGTTGCACCTGTTTATCTGAGCAGTGCCAAAGACCTAACAGAGGCCTCACTTTCCTGCTGCAGCCTCCTGTATAGGAAAGTGGAAGTTTGGATGGAAAATGGCCACTCACATTGGCAATGAAGTGGAATGGAAAATTTTCCACTGCTTTATATTTTCATGGATTTTTTTTTCAATTCAGTAATTAATTGATACAAACAAATGTATGCTAACAGCAAATAAAATGTTAGCCAAAATTGGCAGGTTGAAAGTTGTAATTAATATTTCTTTCAGATGATTATCCCTAGCAAAATATATGGCATTGAAAAGCATAATGTCTTAGAATGAATGGAACTAAGTGCCTGTCAAACTCAGTGTGTCCCATCAACTTTAGTGGAAGAGAGTTGATCAGTGTTGAAAGAGATGTGTCAGTATACTATGCATTACTAAAAATAATAATTATTTTTCACTGTCCAGCTTTCACACCCATACATAGTGTTCAAGAATGCGCTAGTGTGGATGATCTTGGCCTTGCTCGCCAGTAAAATGGCCTTACACTTACTAAAAAAGATCTAATTCCCTCATTGCAACTCTTCCAAGTCTCAATCTTTCTCAAATTGTTTGGCTGCAGCCTCCCTTCAAATTGATGACTGAGCCAAGGTATGCAAAATCTTTCACAACTCCAATTCTTTTCTTTATTTTCTCTTTATCAGCTTCTGTTCGTTTTAATCCTGGTAAAATAGTATGTTTCCTGTTGATCTTTCAGCATTCCTAATTTTGATTTGAATTTCCCTTTGATTTTTTGTATATCTTGTTTGTCCTGCTTTGTCCTTTTCTACAAGTTCTTTGCAGTGGCGATTGTAACATTTTTTTTTTTGTCTCTTTGTAAGAGTCACTGAAGAGTTGCATTCTTCAGTGACTCTATTTCTGCCATCTTTGCTTCTTGCCTGTCCTTAGCAACTACGAGTGTTTCCTCTGTCATCCATTTGAACTTTTTTTTTTTTTGCTACAGGAGTCACCTTTTGCAGTCTTTCCTAATAATGTCTCTGGTCTCAGTTCATAGTTCTGTCTCATGGTCAGCTGAGCTGAGTTGAATAATGTAAATCTGTGCTTTATGTGGATGATAAATTCCTCAGGAATGTTATTTAAGTTTTATTTGGGTACTATGGCACTCCATTTTCTTCTCCATTTTCTACTTCCAATTATGTGGTCACTATAGAAATAAATTAGTGATGTTCTCATGAAGTATTTATTTGCAATAAACAGATTCTTAGCTTCACAGACTTTTGAGAGTCATTCTCCTGCTTTGTTTCTGACCCCTAGACCAAATTCTTGCACAACATTAGATTTTGCTTTGTTTCCTACTTTTGCATTCCAATCACCTATGATTATCAGCATGCCTTGGAATGTTATCAATCACCTCTTGGACAATTGCATAAAAGTTTCAATTTTTTCCACAGCTTCCATTGTTGGAATGTACACTTGAATGATGGGTATGCTGATAGGTTTTCCAAGAATTCTGCTTGATATGATTCAGGTGAACTTAATAACCCTTTACTGCCTGCGCTACATCTTGCCTCAGTATTACAGTCACCCCATTTCTTCTGTGTTTGTCATTTCCAGAGTAATACACTTCGAATTTGTCTGACCGAAAATGTCTTAGTACAGTCCACTTTAGTTCACTCACATAGTATAACTAGTCCATTTATTTCTTTTCAATTTTCAGTTTGCTTTGATTCTAACTGTTCACTCTCCATGTTCTAATTGTAAGTATTGTATATCACTGGACTTTCCTTTAACTTATGATCAAATTGGCCATTAGATTTCATTGCAGTTTTGATCTATTTGTGTCATTAATGGCAGAGCTGTTTGTATTTGCCCTTTGCTTTTCCCCAGTACCTGGTTGAATGCCTTCTAATTTGGGAGTCTCATCCTCTGATACTATCTCCTGTAGAGAAAAAAGGCTCACAATTTCTAGAATGCCCCAGTTGTTGAATGATTTATATTATTTCATGTGTAAGTACTAAAAGAATTTACTTCATAAAGGGATACAGGAAAATGTTTGTTTGCTTTGCTTTACAAACCCAAACATACATATTTGTTTTAAAAGAAACAATTTCCAGTTTAAAAAAATAGCTAATAATTCAACATTTTTGTGACACACAAAATACATGGTAATAATTAAAACACAACATCTTAACTACTGAAAACACATAGTGCTCTTTTAAATAATGTTCTGGGGGTGGTAACCCACTTCCTTCATATATGTGGTATGTGGCATTTCATCCTTTTGGTGCCACTGCTGCATGTAGCCTTCATTCTCTCTCTCTTGCTCTCTCTCTCGATAGTGGTATTGACAGATAGGTCCTCAATATGTTTCTTCTGCAGCCTTGGGACTGCCATTCTAGTAAGTATGCCTGCCTGCCTGCCTGCCTGCCTACCTGCCTGTCCCGAGTGTTCACAGAAGCACCAAAGTGATCTGTCCTTTCTGGAATATTTTCACAGCTGTCAGTCTTTACATGTATGTGTCTTCTGGCTTTAAGGATCTACTGTTCCTTTAAGTCTAGAAGTCTGTGATTCATGAACATAGCTGCCATAGTACTACAGTGGAGGCTGATGAGGGATGTAGGGTATCATACAGCACTATGATGTCTAATAATCCCAGGTTTAAATGTCTGGGGAAGACTTTGAGAATATTGACATGGAAGTAGAAAAAGGTGAATGGGAGCAGGCAGGTTCAATAACAGTAGTTACTGTCTCAAATTGTCTTATTTCTCTTTTTCCAGCCACCCCCTTGCAGTATTTTACTCGGCCTTCATCAGATTGAAAGTTTTATCATTCCACTTGTCTGATACAACTATTCTGTTTCATGCATGTGTAAAATTTTTGTAATACATTCTTGTCTCTCAAATAGACCTATGATTACAGCAATTGTTAAGTGTATGGATGCAATTTTTCTGCTATATGGGAAAAATATTGCAGAATTAACACTTGAGGCAACTGAAAACCTCACTTTCCAGTCCACATAAATGGACAGGCTCTGTTAATATGTAACTTGTGCAAATCAGGAATATGGAACAGGATTACACTGATTAATGGATGAATAAAACTGTTCATAAGGATGTCCTGATGACTTACAATTTCAGTGTTAACATTAGTGTTTTCTACCCATTTCTGATTTTATGTTACCTTTTCTTAAATATGTCTTAAAAGTTCAATATTGTATCAGGCACCACATAGTCTTATCTTTTCCCACCATTTTGAAGAAAAGCACTGGAAAAGGTTCTTCCTGTGTGTGATTTTCCATCTTTACTGTCCTGGAGTGGTGTCTTGAGTTGTCCAGCAGGTGTCCTCATTGGTACTACTGTTGTACTCATAGCTTTTGATTTAGGGATCCTGGTAGGAATTGCTTGACGGAAGACATCAGCAATCTGGTTTAAATTAAAGGGGAAGGAGGAGACTGTTAAGGATGACACTGCGCACAGAACTTTAATAAGCTTAATGTGCAATTTTTCTAAATTGCCAGAATATTTTCTTTGCTTAAACACTAGTTTTTAAGGGGCTCAGAAGGATTTTATTTATTCTTTTATCTCTAGATGGCAGCAAAGATCAGTCTTTTGTAGAATGTGCACTTCAAATTCTGAAACATTCTTTTAAAACTGTTGGAATATTGCCCATGACTGAATTTTGGTATAGGATTTTTAGATCCCACTGCAAAGCTAATTGTGAACCGAACAGAAAATTAAGGCATTTTTAAACATAGAGTTCTAAAATATATTGTAATGGAAAGTAATATAAAGTATTATTCATTTTCATATCCCCAAGCCTCAGAAAGAATTTCTAGTGGGACCAGAATGGAATCCTGATTTCTATGTAATATATTTTCTGTACTGTGTTCAGTTTTGGGCACCACAATTCAAAAACGTGCAGACAAATTGGAAAAAAGTTTAGAGGAGGGCAACAAAGATGATCTGTGGACTGGAAGCAAATTCCTATGAGGAATGATTGAAAGAACTGGGCCTGTTTAGCCTTGAGAAAAAACTATTGACGGGAAATACGATAACACTTTTCAAATACTTGAAAGGCTATCACACAGAGGAGGACCAGTTTCTTTTCTCAATCATCCCAGAGTGCAGGACATGGAATAATATCTGAAGCCGGATTCTGCCTAGAAGTCAGGAAAGATTTCCTTTCTGTTAGAGCAGTATGGCAATTATCTAGGGAGGTTGTGGGTTCTCCCATGGTGGAAGCATTTCAGAGGCAGTTGGAGAGCCACCTCTCAGGGATACTTTAACCTGGGGTCCTGCATTGAGCAGGGAGTTGAACTCTATGGCCTTATAGGTTCCTCCCAAATTTGCTATCGACTATTGTATTTGATAAATGGGCCTCTAGGTCCTTTTCACCTTTTCTTTCTTTCTTTTTTAAAGGAATCGGAGCACTGCTTGGCATAGATTGAGATTATTTAAAAAGTCTGGTCCATAGACAGTATCATAGAATAGCAAAATGATGTAGCATTATTTTATTTCTAAGGAAAGCATGCCTGCACAGCTTGTGTCCATAGTCCCCTGTTTGAGAGCTTTCTGGAGCTATACAGGTAGCTAGATCAGATTAAAGGTATTCCTGCCTAACTAGAAGAAAAAACTGTCTTTTTGCCACATGCACACTACCTGGAGGAAACTGCAGTTCACAGTCAGCATGAAGAAAATAACAAGGCTGCAGTAAATATCAAATTAAACTTATTCAGCCATAGCCACTGAAAGCCATTCTAAAAGCTGGTGTAACCAAAGGAGAGTGACTGACTTTAATTTTAATTTAATTTAATTAAAACATTTATATGCCTTGTGGGAAATTGTGGTAATGGGGAAGAATTCCTATAGGTCTTAATTGTGCCCTGATAGATAAGAGCCCCTTGTGTAATACCCTCCTAGGCAATCTTACTTACAGTAAGGTGGCAGCACATCTGACCCCCAAAAATGTGGTCAGTAAGACTGAATCTGCAAGACAGGCTTATAGCATGCTAACCAACTGGAGAGGAAACTTGTAACCTGAAAAATAGGTACAATTACGGCACCTTTGGGCTGTAAAGACCAGTGATGAGTAGAAGCTGGAGTACTTTTCTCCACTGTTTGTAAGGATATTTTACATAGTATGTGTATTACAGGCTTGTTAAACTCCCATTTAGATTACTGGAACGCATTGTAGAGGTAGATTTTCCATTGCATTTTTATCAAGCTCTTTTTTAAAATCTTTATTGAGGTTTTATTTTTAGAGCTTTGTGTTTTTTCTTCTTTGATGCAATGAGATAAAAATAATAAACAATGTAAAACAGATATATATGCCTGATTAACTGCAATCTTTAAAAACATAACTGGTAGAATGAATTTGCAATTATGAAGATTGTGTGCTTACTAGAAGTTTTTCAATATGTCAAGTCTTGAAGTGTTAAACTTTGGCCAGCAGAGGTGTTGACTTTTTCTTACACTTAAATTCTGCTGTTCTGACATCCCTGTGTGTAGGGCTTATGTGGATTGATAAAATATGGATTGTAAAGCACATTTTTAATTATTTGAGTTTCCATGAGGGAGAAGAGGTACTGTAGGTCATTGGTAGAGCACCGGATTTGCATGTAAGGGTCCAGCGTTCAATTCCTGGCATCTCTGTTTAAAAAGGATCAGCTAATAGATTATCTAAAAGATCATTTGTGAGAACATCAGAGAGTAGATTGTATTGGGCTAGATGAACAAATCAGTATAAAGCAGTTTTCTGTGTTTCTTACAAATTAGTATTTTTAAAGTATAGTATTTAACAGCACGTTGCAGAAAAGCGGAGGGGGGGTCTCTTTTGCAGTGGTACTCAAGGATTGTTTTTATGTGTGTAGTCTTAATAAATAAGCCTGTAGCAGCCTTCAGGAGTATCGTCAGTGTCTATTCTCTAGGAACTGCTCCACCATTGTTAACACCTTTCTCTTGTTTTCCTAAAACCCAGTAAATGCCATATAGTGTAAATAGATGGACTGAAGAAACACGCGCCTCAAGACAGGTCAAAATATACAGGTCAAAGACAGGTCAAAATCTATGTAGTTAACTTAGGAATGAGTCTTATTGGACATAGTGAGACTCCTGAATACTGTTCACAGTACTCTTAACTGTGGTTTGTATAAAGGGAGTATGATATCGGCAATTTTATTTTCAGTTCCTTATAGTTGAGCTCAACATGGAATTTACCTTTTTCACAGCTGCCTGTTGACCAGATAGATTTGGCTAGCATACACTGAGCAGTGAGTCTGCGACATTCTCACTTCCTGCTATTACAGTTTCCATGCCACAATGTTTTGCATGTTCCCACTACTGTATCACTGACTGACAACTGTTGGGAA